AAAGCCTAATTTAAGTATGATAATCAAATATTTCTACATTTTTATTTTGTTTTTTTCCATATTTTAATAATAAGATTAAAAAACATTAAAAAATGTTTTCATTCGTATGTAATTTTTATATGTTTCTGGAAACTTTATTCAGTTTATAGTTTGCGCTATAACTAATTCAATAGATTCGATTGTCATTTTCAGATACGTAACAAGTTCATCATTGACAGCCAGTAATTTTATGAACCAATCTATATTTGTACACGTAAAATGATGATAGCTACGAATCTAAGATTGTAGAGGGCAGCTGTATGCAGTTACTTTTCGAAAACCTCTGATGGCTCCTGATAAGATCGGCGCCGGTTCGTGCACTTACCGACTTTCCGACGAATGTGGGTAATTCAGGTAGTTTTCAGCGGTGTATACCTTGACGGGTTTATCGATTTTAAACCGAATAGCAAAATTTTCACAGCTATAAGTATAGTATAAATTTTTTGACAAAGAATGAATCCTATTCTGTTTTTATTATCATTAAAAATTTTACCCTCAAAATGTACAAAAAGTCATTGCTTCATAAGAGTGCTTTGAAATAAGATTGAGACACTCTATTGATTGTAATTTAAGTTGTATTTCTTCGGTTAGTTATAATTAAATTTTTTTTAATAAAGAATCTGCTCTAGGCATAAATACGAGTTTAGTTGAATAGGCCCTTATTTGCAAACACTCCTTCTGGATAGTTCATTAAAATTAGTCTAGAGGTGTCCAAAGAAATTAACGATCAATAATAGTACTTTAAAACTGCCTAGGCTAAAAACCTCATGACTTTTGTAAGAGAGGATAGTAGTAGATTATAAAATAACGAACAGGAATTATAATAGTATGCTTGTTAAAAAGGGTTCTTATCTATTTCAGTTATTGATGAATGTTTTGATGTCGTAAAAATTAATTAGAACTTTACAGTACGTTATCCCAAAAACTCCACCTGTAAAATTTCTTACACTGCTACGCAGTCGTTTCGGTTACAGACACAAATGTTTTTCCCGTAGTCCTTTATATTTACATAAATGCCTGAAATGTTAATACGAAGGCTTAGTAGCTTATATCGTATTTTTCATTTTCTTATCTCAAGCAGTCGAAGATTGGTGGGACTACATGATTTTAATTCTATTGTCCCTAATTAAATGCCGTTTAAAAGGCGCACGTGAGCTACTAATGAATCGGCCCTGCTTTGGTAAATAAATTCAAGACCAATTTTACAACAGTAAAAAAACAGAACAAGACTATACGTGACCCGTGCATGAAAAAAATTGAAAGTTTTAAGATAAAACTAAAAAGGGGGCAGAGTTGATTCACTTTGCATAATGAATAGCTAATAATTACTTAAAATTAAAAACTAATTAAATTATTTCAAACTTGTGCATGAAATTAAATTATCGTTGTCAAAGTTAAATAATAACTACCCCAGCATGAGCTTTACATTATTTTTTATTATTCTGTAAGCTTAACTTATATTAATAATCGATTAATGCTTTATCCTCACTCGCTAACGCTCGTTCAGTATTTTAGACTTTTTTTTGAAAAATATTTGATTTCGATTTAAAAAAAATAATAGTACTATAATAGTACTATAGTATTATAGTACTATTACTATACTTACTAGGAATCGAAATTAGAAATTTTGGAAATTCAAGAATTTATTTTATCTTCACCGCGTAATACATAAGATTATTATTATCAATTCATTTTTATTCCATCATTGGCATAATAGAAATAAAAATGCTACACTAATGCGAGAGTCATAATTAATAAATGAAAGAAAAATTTTTCGACAAAAAGGAAGATAATTGCGTTTACAAATAATTGAATTCATTCTTTTTTTCAAGCATATGTCATAGTTCAACGCACATCTAGCACGTAAATTAACTAGGTAAATTTTTCAAGCAGATATAATATGTGTGTTTGAATAATTAATTGAATTCACGCAAAAATTTCAGATCATCACATATGAATTTGTTTTGATATTTATCTTTTGAATAACACATACAGTCAAAAAACACAGTCCGAGTGAAAGTCGCCTCGAGCATCAGGCTACTACAGTGGCGTCTCGTTACGATCGATCGGATATTCGGATAAGAGCTGAAGATATTTAAGAATGCTTTTAGACGAATTCAAAGCCCGTGTGTCCTTTTTTCGATCAGACTAATAGACACTCCGTGTTCGACTTGTTTCTTTTCAATGGTTTTCCCCTTTTTATCGTATGTATCGCCTGCGCTTCTATATTGCTTTAAATGTTTACATTTGCTTTTTTTAATTAGTTATATATGTTGAATGTCGGGCTTATTTTCATAAAAATTAAAAGTATTTGTAAATCTGCAGAGTCTAGATAAAATAAATTAACCTCTTATATTTTATTACAAAGCAGCAATGTCCTTTCTTACAATTTGCGAAAGACGAAAATTTGAATTTATAAGATATCAAAATGAACATTTATCTATAAATTATCATGACTCGCATCGTGTTAAACGAGCGATGGCCAAAATCAAAAACACCACTGTTGCAGTGATAAGAACAAATTCTTTCAGAAGCTCGCTGTGGGAACGTGGTATCAAAAACACGAATGAGAACCTGTGCTTCGAATTGATAAATGAAATTAACCTGCTTGTTTTTCTCACAGATAACGTAAACGATGCATACAATTTATTGTTTTGGGTTAAATAATGGATTTGTGTTTGATATACTATAATACATAATTTTTATATTTAATAAATTATTTCCTGTAATATCTTACATTAGAATCATTTTTCCTAATGGAAAGACCAAAATCAATTTCAGCTCCAAATCAAAAAAGGTTTATCGAATTTTAGAGAAGATTTTTTAATTTTTTTTAATTAAATTTTTTAAATTCCAAATTTTTCCATTTATCCTGCAGATACAATTATTTTCATGAGCTAACCACGTTTTTGTTTATCTGTAATGAACTGTTTAAACTACAGTACCTAGATGGTGTACACTTCTTCAGAGCATAAATGCTTATAGTCGCCACCTCAGGCAAAATCGGTCGGATTTCTCAAGGTTAGGATGGTAACCTTTGATGTTTCTGAGAAGCGCACATTACCTGGGTTGAACCTCAGACTGTTAGTTCTAAATATTACACAAGGATAAGAAAAACTTAATATGCTAGAAAACGCAGGAACGATAAAAAATGTAATACTTAAAGTATATAAGAAGAAGGCTGCTGGAAACGTCACTAACTCGGTGAAAAATTAATATTTTAGAAGTTTAAAAAGTTCAAAAGGAAAAAAAAGAAAAGGGAAGAAAAATCTTTTCCAACAATCTAATAGGATTTTTTTTATAAGCCCTTTATAGGCTCTTAAACGCCAATTAAAATATTTTTTCGAATTGGTGAGCCATAAATTAAAGCCGCAAATAAACTAAGATTCTAAAGAAAGATCGAGACCACTTTAAACATTCTCAACACAGAGCGGCTACGACAGTATAATGTAAGCCAGCGATGGCAAAGAAAGAAGTTGAAACGACAACACAGCGCATCACAGTTGGATCGTCCTCTCGGCGCGGTGTTATTTGAACGTATAAATTCAAGTATATACATATCCACGCGTACTGCGACGAAAAGGACGCGTGTATGGCCTCATATAAGGTAGAATAAGCGAGCGCGTGTCGTGCTTCTCGGCTGCAAGGCGCCACCCTGACGCCCTGCGTGTATACAGGCCACGACGTTTAATGGGCGTCGCAAGCGCGCGCAGAGAAGAGTGAGAATTCGAAATCAGATTTTATCACCGATAAGAAGTCAAGCTGAAAATAAAGGGTGTGAGTTTATACATACGCACATACACTCACTCCCCGTATGTGTGTATTTTTAAGGAAAAAAAAACATTACAGCCCAAATGTAAGATGCTGCTTCTTTTGCTTCTTTAGGTGGATCGGTATTTAGCTTATTCATTGCCAAAAGTTGCCAAAGTAGTTATTGTCGTGCCGCAAATATTTCTGAAGAATTATTTGAAGTTTGTTTTTCATTTTATTATTTTAAGTAACATTGAATTCAATTTTTTAAATATTAACTTATTTTAGAGAATAAAAAATTTAATATATTTTCAAAGTTAGTAAGCGATGCAATAATAATTTTGAAAAACTAAAAATAATAAATTATAAGGGCTCAGGGTGTAGCGGCTAAAAACAAAGGATCATCTGTTTCGCGTATTTCAGTTATTTGTGTTATAATTTCCTCTAGTCTCAAGCATGCTCTGACTTATTTAAACGTGTACAAATTATCGAAAGCCAAAAATGATCAAACTTCCAGCATCTTCGTGTTGTAGTAGAGGCTTCTACTTTTCACTGCCGCAAGTAATGGGGCGCTAGATATAATTAAAGAGAGTAAACAAGCTGAAAACGTGCCGAAATGTTTGTAGACCTTTTTGTCAAGACGGCCACCCGTAAATAAACTGTAACAATGTCCATTCGGGAATCAAAACTTTTGGAGCTGCATGACATTCATTTTAAGATTGGAGGCGGAGTTCTCAAATTTTTTCATTTTTGAGTTAAACGTACTAGAGGATTTTTTCACCGCTGCGTGTGTCATTTGACTTACAACTGCTATTTTTTATTTATTTGCTTCTTGTTGAGAATTTATTAATTAGATCAAGATTAATGTTAAATTATTAAAAAAAGGTACAAGTATTTGATTTAAAATCTGTAAGTGTCGACGAACAATAGAGTATTTCGATCGAATTGAAATTTTCTATAATTTAGCATATCTGCTTAAAATAGAGAAAAATTATTTTACGCATTAGATGATATATTAAGGTCAGCTGACCGATTACTAATCATCAAGCGAGTTCCAACCTTCTTCAATTATATATGACGCCCTTGAGACGACCGACAGTGCTAAATGATATCCTTCGGCTTCATTGATCTTCTTTGATGATTTTTTATACTGCACCATTTCGCTCTCAAGCGCCAGTTTTTACCCTGCAATAATCTTCTTTGCAGCTCGATGACTAGATAATTATTGGTTGCAGAAATTTGACTCAATTCCTGGATCCAATAATACAATGTAAAGTCAACAATACTGAAATGTATTTTATGCTACATCAAGTTCATTTGATAGTAGTACAAAAAAAATGTAGAATAGAATATCAATGTCGTCTTATTACTAGATAAAAGCTTCAGATTTTCATCGAATTATGAGAAATCTTTTATGATGACTGTCATATAAAGGTGTAAATTTATAAAGAGTATTTATTAGTCAGAATTTAAAGAAACTAACAAAGCACTGCTCAAGTATTTTCAACAATCGAGATGTTAACAGTATGAGTTAGTGAAAATTAGTCTGTGAAATTAAAAAAATTAATCCTCTCTTTTACGAACTTTTTCGCGAACTATACGATAAAAATATTAGATCTCAGTGAATGAAAAAGCTAAAATTTAAAAAATATATCTTTACTTAAGAGAGCAATAGCTGGTAGCGAAGCAATGGCTTTAAAGTAAAATCTGAATAAATATTCGACAATGCAAAGAAAATTACAGATACAAAGGTGTCGAAAAATATTATTTGTAAAAATTAATTAAGAAAAAAATTCAATAAATCTAGCTATATAGTAGATAAAAATAATTGGTAGTGATGGTATTTAGTAATTCTTAAAGACATCATATACATTGCTTTCTGTCACTTAACTGTTAATGAATTAGTAGTAAGATAACTAACTGATTATGAATCAGTAATATGTTTATATCCTACACAAAATTAAAGTATTTTTATTTAATTTTACAGAAAAAGTTATTTATAAAATTTTCGAGAAAATCGCTGTTTTTTTAGTTAACTTGCATTATTACAACAATTATTATACTTACACTATAGATGTGTATGAATAAAATAACTCTAAACTTTAATGAGTCATTAATGCAGTAACAATAATGTGATTGAAAAATATTTGGCTGGATTGAAATGTAATCGCTCAATTATTTGTCATAATAAATCAGAATTAATTAAAGTAGTTATCAGATCTTGGCAAGCCTCTCGATTTTCTCATTCACTCAAACTAGAAATCTATTTCTGACCGGTTATTGATTATCCTACTTATGTTAGTCCAGATTTTTGCCTGAATTGCTTTGTTACCAAGTCTCGAAGGCGGACCTTTTGCCATGCTAATTCACGCGATCAAAAATGACTATTTTTTGTCGCACGCTCGCGCCTTATAAGATGTCACCTCGGATTAATAAATCAACGCCTCGGAAGTGGAATGATAACTCGCATTTTATGTATCGGCCACCTAGTCGTGTTATTTTTCGTATTCTTTTTTTTTCGGGTCTTTCATTAGCAAGCAGGTACGATATTTTAATAACGCTGTGGCACTCAATCTTATCCACATACGTGCATTTTTATTAATCCTACTCGAATGAGCTACTAAGAATTTTAGACTTGATTCAATATCGCGCGAATTCGTATAACCTGTCAAAATAGCTGGAAAAAATGAATTTGCGTAGGAGTAATTGAATTAAAACTCAAATATTTTAATTTTTATCTGATACATCTCTTGTTTAAATATTTTGTGGCATAATTCCACTACAAAGTCAAAAATTAGACAACTATGTCGGTTTTCTCTTTCTATCTAAAAGAATAAAGTTTCAAAGTAAATAATCCTCTTTTATCCGTTTCATCTTTTAAAAAGTGCTAATATTTTCAATTATGTTCCGAACAATAGAATATATTTACTGAACTTATTGAAATGTTACTAAATTAATAAAATTGAACATCATTCCTTGCTCGCTAACGCTCACTCGTAAAATTGTATTAGAACTTTCAATGAAATTCTAAATACAAATTATAGAGAATAGGCCATTGGTTTTTAATAAATTTTAATTGTTTAATTAAATACACGTTTCTCTGATAATTCTGTTACGTTTTAAACCAACGTCCACTGGAATTTATCAGATTTTTGTACAATTCTTATAATCGCTACGTTTTTTATTCAAACAATTTTATTGTTTTCACGGTCATAAATATGAAGGTAGTTTGAAAAAATAAAATGAAACGTCAAAACGGTGTCTTTAATGCTCACAAAATAGTCGTCATTTAATCATCTACAATATATCGAGATTAAAAGCAAAGCATCAATTACCATAAAAATAATCATAAACATCTTGAATAATTTACGTATGAAACGAGTCTGGTAAGCAATATCAGCTCCTTTTTCAGAAGGATAGAGTCATCAACATTTACATAATTATAAGAGCTGCGTGTTGTCTGACTTTACGCGCATAATTATAATAACTCCATGGTGCGGCTTATCCCTTTGTCCAGGCTTTCGATATGTGTGGATACGTACGCGTTTATTTTCGCAGGTTTATTCCTTGCATGGTGCGATATTTCGATCAGGGTATTGGAAGAATTTGCAATCGTAAGCAATAAAAAGGTAAAAAAGAGAAAAGACCACCGTGACGAAGCTTGTAAATCAATTTATCGTTTTTCTTTCTCTTACTGATCGAACCACAGCTCAATACTTGCGCCAGGTAGGTAACAAGCCAAAATGGTTGAACTATCCTTCTGCGGTAGGTGCTTATTCCGACACGACTTTTTTCTCTTCCTCGAATTGATTTCACGTGAGATATGCTTTACTTTGCAAGCGCTTGCATGAACTGCTTGGACAGATGCAATATTCCCACAGAAATTATTTAAGGAAGATATAACGACGATTTGTATGTTTTAATCGATTTATCTGGGTACACATTTTTGGGTTTAGTTAATAAATATAATTATTTAACTGTAAAGAGATAATCCATGAATCCTAATTTTCTTTACATATCGGAAAATAATGGCGCGCTAAATAAAAAAAAAGCGAACCTTAAAGTGTTTAATTCTATTGTAAAATGTATACTATTAAGTATTGAAAAACTTTACGATACTAGTATCATTTTTTGAACTGTATGCCAACTTTTTGGAAAAACTAGTTTATTTTGTAGTAAATATTTGACTAACATATTATATTTATGTAAGCTAGCGGAATGTTTTTAATCTATTACACTTTCATAAAATAACAATTTAGCTATAGAGGTAAACTTTTTATAAGATTTGGACACCACTGTATTAAATCAGCCGTGAAAGCCTCTTTAAATTTTTTTCAAAAATCTACCATTATAGCGTCTTTGTCGAACGACAAAAAGAAGAGAACGTACAATGAAACTGGGAGAAGTAATCGTAAACTTGGAAACTCTTTGCTCTCAACGATGTTTCGTATTGTTAAAAATAAATTCAAAATTTGAATCTTTAGAAATATAAGGAGTAAAAATGTAAACAGTAAAATTATGTCGAGTAGAGATCATCGTGTCAAACACATGATAATCTCATTGCCGCCGAATGAATAGTGCTTATATTACTTAAAGCGAGCTTAGCTAGAAAAATGTATTGATGCAAATATTTTTGTCAAATTCGAAGGGATTAAAGCATGTAATACCCTATAATAGCGTCAAAAAACTTTTGAACAAAAATGAAAAGAATCAAGAAACTGCGAAAAAAGTATCTTTCACTCAAAATGTTGTTTTAGAAATCAAGCTATTAAGTTTTCTTATATTATCGAGAACATCTTTTTAAAAATTTTTTTAATTATTACGATTCTAAAATATAAAATTTGTATCAACGTGACTATGGAATAAAAAAACGGACGCAAATAAAATGATACCCAGACGAGCTTAAAAAAGTACTTACCACATTCACGAAGTCCTGAAATGTTACAGCATTGACGTGAAACTCTTTTGCTCTCGCGTACAAAAGGTCCAATTTATTGATAGGTATTTTTTTTTGCCATTCAGAACTTTTCAATGCCACTAGAAAATCTTCGATTGGAATTTCTCCAAAACCCTCAGGATCATACTGAAAATAAAAAATTTTTTGAAGTCATCAATTTATTACTTTAATTAATTGGATTTGAGAAAAACTATTATTACCTTATCGAAAAGTAATCTCCATTTCTGTAGAAAAAAACAATATTAATTTAAATACATTTTAATTTATGTGAGTGAATTAATAAGCAAAGTTTACATCGGTAAGAAGTTCTCGGCGCAGCTCAGACTCATCGATGTCGGACACAAGATCTGTATGGTCGGTAATGTACCCATCGCAGCTCACGCTGTTGGCTTCGCTAAGATCGTACTCAGTGAGCGTATCAATAGTACCACTAATGGTCAATATCGAGTCGCTACTTGCCATCAACATCATTTTTTATGGTCGCATTTAAGCATTCAAAAGAAGTTTCTGAACAAAAAAAATATAATGATAATATATTAATCATGATATGACAATTGTTCAAAGTTAAAAAATAATAAGAGTAAAAATTAAAATTTTCAATTATCAGTATTGGATTTTATTAAGAATACAAACTACGATAGCCCGTGATTTTTCCGTACCAATGTAATGCACCAATTTCACACGATACTTGAAACAAGAACACGTTTGATATCAACAAATACAGTAAGAAGTCAATATGAAATAGCTAAAGAACAAAAACCGTTTCATTTTTTTCCAAGTGCCACAAATGTAATCTTTTTAAGATTTGTTTATCATTAGATATATGTCTAAACACTGAAAATGTTGTAGTTTTATGAGCTTGCTTAACTTTACTAACTTTTCGAAAAGGGAAGAAGTGGAAAAATGATTTAATCAAAATTAAAAATCAATTATCAAAAAAAGTAACTTTCAAAGATAAATCAAAGTAATTTATTAAACTTCTGAAACAAAGCTTGAACATTAAAAGTAGTTGTTTTTGCTAAATTTGTATAATTACACACGCAATTACTAGAAAACAAAGGGGCTAAAGTATCTTCATTGCATGGCTGAGAATTCAAAGATGATATTTATAAATAAGCATGGCATAAAGTTTGAGATCTCAATAATATCGTATTTAAGAGCATGATTGCCAAGACAAAAATGATTTTCTGAAAATAGAGAATAACAAATAGGGAGCAAAGCAGAAATAGAGTCTATACGCCGGCTTATATAAGATGTGTTCGATTTGTGCACGATATAGATTACACGTGTGCATACGTCGTTGCCATAGAAATGACGCTTAGACCTATTCAATTCATGCAATATCATCCTGTATTTCGATTAGTTTTTGTGGAAACTCTTTTTATATGCACAGTTGAAAAAAAAACTTGAACCGTGACGATGGTGCACATAACGAGGAGAAAGGGTGGAAAGCATGTGGAAAGCGAAACGTGAGCATCTATAATGTATGAGCTTGACATTTTTTCAGATTTTTCAGGGTCGTCGACCTTAACGTACACATACCGGCCGGCCGTCAAGACGCGCCGTAAGAAGTAACCGCGTACGCATAAACCGATGCTTTCATGCGCCAAGCTTTTTCCTTTAAATATAGACTACGTCCGCCGTCTTGGGTACAGGTACCTTGGCTAGCTACTCAAGAGTGTTTGCACTGTCGCGCTCTATCTGTCTACGTGAGTACACGTGTACGAGCTTTATTAAAGAGGGTGTGCTCACATGAAAAAAAATCACGAAGCTGAAAAGGAATTGCAGAAGGGTGCAAGACTCTGGGTTACCACTAGCGAGGATACGAGGTTTCTAGTGTTCGTTTCTCCAGTAGGATGTTTATAATTCAGAGTCGAGGATTGGCACTAGTGCTCTAGATTTACACACATGACGAGGAACTTTCTGCTGACACTTGTTTTTCAGGCCAAAAGATAAAGCCCCTACGGATAATAAACACTGCCTGGTGTGAGTGTGAAAATAAATGCGAATCGCCTCGTTAAAAGAGGTCAAAATTCGATTGACTAATGATTATAAGCGCGTGTCAGGTACGCGATGTAGCCTGGCTACTGTTGTGCAGAAATGCAAATGCTTCGATGTAAAAATTGATCAACGCGTGAAATTGACTTGTGGAGAATGAAATATGCATGCTACCGCGCACTAATGCTCGGAGGTTTTCAGTAATTGCTAGCACCTCTAAGCACTAATTATAAAGCTTATATGATTGAGCTTTTTGCTCTTGGATCGATTAGGGATTATAGCTCGCTGCTACGTGTACGTACACGCTGAGATGCTCTTTACTACAAATTTATACTAGTTCGATTGAATTTTGCCATATGGAAAGTATTCGCTCTAGCCTGGGATATGCCAAGACTGGGAATGTCAACGATTCGGCTGTAGGTAGGAAAATTGCTACCGATTTCGTATGCGATTCGATCGAACTTTTACCGGAAATGTATTCTTGATGAATGTTTTGAATGGTCGTTAACTTGGCTCATTCGAATTAATAAATTAGCAGCGGTACCCGAACAATTTTTCTGGTTGATTCGAAAATCGATGCAAGTAGATCGGAAATTATCCACTGTACGACGTTAACATGCGTTGGACAAACTTATTTTTGCCTGGTGTCAAGCAAAAAAGGACCCTCGCATACTCGTGTCAATGTAACAACCTGAATTCAAACGATAGGCCTGTATCGCATAATGACCAACATTCACATATACATGTATAGTCGGCATGCATACACGAAAGTTGGCTCTTTCTCTCGCGCGCGTTTCGCTTCAGTCACGCGAACATGCCGCGGCTAGCCCTTGCTTCTGTTGATAAGCTGGCCTGCGGGTCTCTACCTCTGCGTACCTTGGGCCGAGAGTGTAATATCGACTACATGTTCGGTGCATGCACATGTATATAGAATATATATCTGTAGGTATTGGTTGCTGCATCAACCGAATCGTTTTAGATACTGCGGCACCCCCACAATTTTCCATCATTCTAATAATGGGCAAAAAAGAGCTAGACTAGCGGCTCACTCATAGAAGCGTTCGATATTCGGGGTAAAAATCCACCATCTTAAACGTGAATAATTGATTCATTTTATAGATTAGCCAAATACTATATTATTTGATTTTAATGCAAATGATAGATAGATTAATATTTCGTATTGAGAAATAGCGACAATAACACATTTTTACAAATGAAAAATGAATTCAAAAGGAATAAAATATTATAGATTTTTGAAATGTTGCAAAATATTATAAAGAGAATTAAATATTATAAAGAATATCGTCGCACTTTTCTAAAAATAACGAATAATCGTTGAATTCTCCGAAGTAATATTCTGAACTGAGAATCGATACCGTTAAACGTTATTATTTCTAGCACCTCGGTTCAATAACTTGGCTCCGTGAAAACTTTCAAATAAATTTCAATCAATTTGTGCAGTGCATGCTATTTTGAAACTGATGAAACTAAAAAATGTTCACTCCGGTTTTGTTTTCGAATTTCAAAGAAGTACTTATACATTACGACCTACAAAACATCAAACATACATGCAAGCACTCAAGGACGATAGAAGAGGCATGTGGTCGCATACTGTAGTTAATAGTCAATGCAGAGATATAACTCTACTTACATAGGTACGTGTTTATCTGGTTCTGAGGGGGAAACTATCCGCACGTATGCTGAGCTGTCGCGCATATAATCCTCTTTACGCACTCCGCTGATTCGAAAATTTTCGACGACGATGTTAGCTATTCGCTAGCCAAATGCAATTGAAAGTGAAGTGGTGTTTTTTCTTCAATGAAAATAGACCACCATTTGCAAAAAAAAATTCTTATGGGATGTGATTCACAATGAAAACGATCGTAAAAAAAAGTTTTTACGATCTGTAAAACTATTTGAATTAACGAGTTTGCCGATCAATGAAGTTTATTATTTTAGAGGTATTATACTTGGTCAATGAACTCCATTTAGTTTTCATTTAATTCAACTCACTCGTAAATTATTATAAAATAATAGCACTTTGACATAGTTGCTCAAGTCTTGTTTCGAAATTAGATTATTTTATACTTAAGAAAATTCAATCGAAAGATGCGAAATTGAAGTGAAACTCGATGCTCATAAGGTAAAGAGCTACTTGGAGCATGAAAATTCGTGCATCCAGTGTAGGCTAAAAATTCATCGAAAAAATTCACTCACTCACGTGGACAATCTATACACAAGTTTTAGCTCGCAACAACAACAACGGGTTATCAACGCGCGCGCGTTTCGTAGAGGCAACTGCGATGCCGGCTTTAGTCGCGCGCGCCTCGAGCTTTCCACCCTCGACGTTTTACCACGACTCCCCAACGCTTCTATATGGGTGTACATGTATGCGTGCGTGTGTGTGTAATATGTGCATGCACGAGGAGTCTACCCCCGCCCTTTCCCCCTCGCAGCCGATATGGAGAGTTTGGCCTGCACAGAGAGCGCTTAGATTATACACGTTAGCTGCGATGATGCACGTCCATAAGAATCGAGGGTTATCTCTTGTCTGCTTTTCATTAATCGAATAATCGAATACACTTTTTATCTTAAAAAACATATTCAACTTTAAAGTACAATAATTTTGAAATTATTCGATGTATCAATCACGATAAGTCACATTAAAATGAGTTGACAACCAATTGTAGTTCTCGATGCATTTTATACGAACGAAAAATGTAGTAAATGTTGTTTTGACAGTTTTTTTGATGCGAGTAAATGAACACGCAAGGCACGTGAAACCCCGAGATTTGCATGCCAAGTTAAGGGCTCGTTATGTACTTACAAACTTTCTTACTCCTTTTACTACTCAGAAGTATGGCTTAGATTGGGGTAAATTAATACTCCAAGATTTAATCGGAGATAACAGTACCCATGCCATTAACAACACCTTGAAATTTCGTACGTTAACTTAAACTCAATCTATGGTACAATGACCACATCGATTGCTTATTTTTTCAAATTTCGATATATTTACTTCTGAAACGTCTTAAGGGGAGGTTTTCTTCAAGCTCAACTAAAATATCTTTTTTTTTGTATTTCCAAATTGCTTATGCTTTCAATCCATTACTAAAATTTCGTATGTGAATTCGAATTCTTAGTCAGTCAAAGTCAGGATTGCGAGTAAGCATTTACACGGCGATCAAAGGCAGTTGACAATTCTAAACGTGTTTTTCTCGAAAACATGTTTTCTGAGAAGGGCAGCAAGATATCTGAAAAACTACTTTAGATATCGATAAGAATTTTGTTTTCATTCTAAAGATAATTAAATTTTCTGGATCTTGAGTACTTCATCAACTTCCTTCTATGAGAAAAAAATCACAAAAATCACGTAATTTTAAGGATTCTAGATGAGAACCTCCCTTAAAATAAAATATTTCAAATTGACTCTCGTCATTTGACCCTTACATCAGCCGTATCTCTCAAAATTTTAAGAATGGTAATTAAGCAAGATATTATGCGTAAGCCGAAGAATTTTAACTCATATAGCTCTTGTCTTGTTGTACGCACAAATCGTGCAAACGTTTGCAAAACTTATTGACTTTTTAGTGTAAGATTCTATGCTCAAGATATGGCATGCAGACATTGCATAAAACATCGAGATGATCCTTATCGTATCTTTTACCCAGACGAAGAGTGAAGAGTTGTATAAGGATGTGTACAACTAAGCAAATTGGTATAGACGACGTCAATGTGGTATAATTAGACGTATATTTATTTCATCGTCGACAGCTTCCGATTGCACCAAAATATTTGAAGTAATCAAATAGAAGAGTCAAACTGTGAAAATGAAATGAAGAAAAAAATCAATTAGAAGACTAGAGAAAATATGCGTCAAAATACAGAAGAAAAAGTATAATGCGATTAGAAGAATATTTAACTCAAAGAAATTTGGTTTACTCTCAACGGATTCATCCGATCCCCTTGCGAGCGAGCTTATCAAACACACACTCGCGAATGCTGCATGAAATCCATACGTTGTACATATAGAAGTCCGACGCACTTTCTTCGCGTTCGAATTTCCCCTTCAGGATCGACCGCGTACCCCAGTGAGCTGAATATCATCAAGAAAACGCATAAGCGGTATGCCACCCTCCGTCTTCATATCCCCTCGATGTTACATTCGCACACTCGTGTATGTATGCGCATACGTGTGTTTTTCTTCCCAACTGACCCGCTCGATGAAGCGATCGTATTTTTTTCGATAACCCCAATTGCAAATGTATAGCCCTCCAAGCCAACTTATTATTTTAGGCAGCTGCTATTTTTTGTATTTTATCATAAAGTAACAGCGACCGTCTTAAATAATCAAACAAATTAATTAATAAAGAAAGTTTATTATAAGACTTACTTTGCTTGTTCAAATTGCAAATATTACCGAATTAAAGTTTTAAATTCAATGAAACATTACAGATAGGGCGAGTCCGAATAAAACTCAACAATTCCACCATAAAATACGCTATTAAAAACAAGAACAAAAAAAGTATGTGAAGAAATTGAATTAACATTAAAAATTGATAAATAGCTGTTTAAGAACAGCAGTTAGAAGTCAAACTTTAACAAAATCGCTTAAAAAATTAAAATCCAACCAAGTTAAATATTTAATTCCCAAATTAAAACTCAAATAAATTCAAACAATTTTACGAAGAAATGAAAGTTCAAGAAAGTAAAGCATTCACAAAGAAAATTCAATCAAGGTAAAGATCTGAAGGTTCATTTCTGGTCGTTTGATTGTCTAGAATCCATTGAACATTATATTAAAATATAAGGTACAAAGAAATTTTTCGTAAAATTTCAGCCAATAATATATCAATTAGGAAAAAATGGCAAGATTTTTATTATGATTTATTATGAATCGCACACGAGTGATTTCGGCAGCTAGTCCGTATTAGTTTAACGGTTCAAGTCGGTGAAGTCTACACGCACTTAAAACCCATTTTCTTCCGTTAGTTTAAGCCAAGTCATGTCTCCATTTTTGCCTATCGTAGTTGAGAATGATCATGCGATAGCATCTAAATTTTCGTAAGTGAATTAACATTTTCTTGTTTCAACTTAAGATTGAACTGTACAAGTTGCTGCCGGTTTCTAATCGTCAGCATAAACCTATGATACGTATCTCTTGATTCTTGAATTTAGCGTTAGTTTTTTTTAAAAATTCAATCGCTTTTCACAGGTCCTATCACCCATAGAAAAATGGTATAAAAGTTAAATCATTGATCGATCATAGGCTAAGTGTCGATCAGGGGGTGAGCCCATATACAATTGGCTTTCCGGCCTTTCTAAAGGTTAATATTGAAAAGTCGCTTGACCTTGGTGCGTACTTCATAGTTTATTGTTATTTTTAATATAAAAATTGCGAGTAAAACTTGAAACCGTTGATACGTTCATTCGTAATTTCAAACGCATTATCAGTCACAGATCGTGGACCTATCGAATTGACAACGACGAATTATCGATGCGCTCGATTCGGTATCATCGACTGTCGTCGTTATGTAACTTTCAATACTCGAGTATAAGCAATGTAGATTGGTAACTTATTAGGTAATAAATGAAGTAGCTATTTTGAAAATAGACACTTCGCGCAAGACGTAGATCGCGCCAATCGCCACACTGGGAGGCGGCTACACTGAACGAATGTTAGTAAGCCTGGCAAGGCGGTAACGTGACGAACGAGGCATTCATCTGCTCCCGAGAATTCCAGCCGCAGACGCCAAAGATACGCAGGTGCACATACTTCCAGTGCAATATAGAACCAGCTTATCGCCATGAGACCGAGGTTAGTTCGCTTTGTCCCCCACCCGCGTAGTCTAGCAGAAAACTTACACGTACAAGTTCACATGCCAAGCCGCAACACATCATCATCATGTTTCATTGTTGAACTCAAAGAGGAAACATCCACGACAACAGATCGCTGTCGATATTTTCAATTATAAACATCTTATACTGAGTAGTAAGCCACTCGTGTCTAGATGAAGATCCAGCAGTGTCAATAACAAATCGTTACAGAAAAAAGCAACAGCCAAGTCAACGACGAGATCGCCCTCAACGACTACCTAAAGAACATCTGTTGCAAGCGACAAATACTGCAGAAGAAGATGATGAGATGACAACGGCTAATTACGCTTACACACCATTGCAAAATCAAAATAATAATAGACAAATAGGCAGCATGTTATCCAGAGACTGGCGACAGGCCCTTCGAACTCCTCACGTCTATAGAGTTGGAAACAGTACTCTACGCATACAGAGTCAATTTATCGTTTTCCTTCTATTCATATTTTTTATCGCTTTATATTACTATGGATACTCCTTACTTACTAGTCTTATTTGTACTGCTCCGCAGCCCCATAGTACAATGTCACCTAGTCACTTCTACTTTTATAATAGAACTTATCCTTTAACGCCACCAGTTAAACAATATACTGGTATCTCGTATGCCATTGCCATTGTTAGTGATTTGGATACCAATTCAAAAGTTGAAGGTAAACAGAAGCACGATACATGGCAAAGCTATTTTAAAAAAGGCACTTTGACATGGATGCCATCTAGAAATGTTGTATCCGTTGAATGGGAAGCTAGCATGACTTCATTGAACTCTCAACTAGGTCTTAGTGGCAGAGGAATGGAGCTTTCAGAGCTTATTACATTTGATGGTAGATTGCTAACTTTTGATGATAGAACAGGAATGGTTTATGCTTTTGAAGGAGACAAAGTTTATCCTTGGGTCATACTAATGGATGGCAATGGAAAAAATCTCAAAGGTTCATTTTCATTTTTATTGCCTTGAAGTAATTAAAAACTTTTAGACATAAGATTTGCTTAATTTTTTCACAGGTTTTAAATCTGAATGGGCAGCTGTGAAAGATGATCAATTGTATGTTGGCAGTATGGGCAAAGAATGGACTACACCTACTGGTGAATTTGTAAATAACAATCCCCAATGGATCAAAATCATTTCACCTAGAGGAGAAATACACTCTACTAATTGGGTATCCAATTATAATCGGTTGCGAGAAGTATTAGATATCCACTTTCCTGGTATAATTTATCTTTAATTTTAACTAAAAAATGGTCAAACAAAACATAAAATTGGTCTTCAAACCTTTATTCTGTAGGGTACATGATTCATGAATCTGGAGCATGGAGTAATATACACCGTAAATGGTTCTTTTTACCTCGAAGATGTTCTAAAGAGCAATACAATGAAACAAAAGATGAATCCATGAGCTGTAATGTATTGATAAGTGCAGATGAAACTTTTGTGAATGTTCAGGTCTGAATTGAATTTTCATTACTATTCTATAACATATTTTACAATTGTTTAAATAATCTTAATATATTTCTTGTATTAGGTAACTTACATTGGATCTGTAGTACCAATTAGAGGATATTCAAGTTTCAAATTCCTACCTGGTTCAAAAGATACAATTATAGTTGCTCTGAAGACTGAAGAATACAAAGGAAATACTGCTACTTATATTACAGCATTTACGATCGAAGGTCAAATACTGATGCCTGATGAGAAAATTACAGATAAAAAATTTGAAGGCTTGGAATTTGTATGACATTCCTTGTTGAATTTTATAAAGACTTATCAATATTGTATAAAGTGTAAATAATGCAAGTCAAATAATGTCTGTGAATTACATAGAGTTTTAAATTTCATAAACATTCATTAAGAGATCAATTCAATTGAATTGATACTTCAATCAATGAAATGTGATCAAGAAGTAGACATTTTTAATACTTCTGTTGACCAGAGGGATATATTTTATTTATATTCATTATTGTGAGTACCATTGACGACCTTGTCAAACTTAGGGAAAAATGTTTGAATTATGATAGACTCATATAAATTAAAAGCTAATTTGTTACTGTTAAAATGTTTGTGAAATCAGACAAATGCTTATAAATAATTGTAAATAATAATTTTAGTAAAAAATTATTTTCATGATTTTTGAAAAGTTTTCTATTTTTGTAAGTAGACTAACTGTACGATAATGTAGAAAACTGTCAAAAGGGAAATTCAATTCAAGAACTTTTACAAATTCAGTTGATAAAGTAGAGATTTTGTGATACAACTGCTTATTCATTGGGGCAAAAGTATCTTTAATTATGTTTATTTAAAAGTGATAAAGTAGAGCTTTCCTTAAAAATTTGGCCTCATACTGAAACTCCAGACAACATTTTAATTTTTTTTTTAAACTTAATTTTATATGCAAAAATGAAAGGTATTTTTTGTCCACGTTAGAAGTCATAATTTTTCAGACCCAAATCAAAAATAAATCATTTAGTTTAAGTATCACAATTCTGTACGCTCTAAGAATGAAAATTTTGAGCAGCAAGAAATCGGTCTATCTATGCATATAAGTAGTGTACTATGCGTCGAGTGCATCGCGCCCGCTTTTATATCCACTCGCCTTCGACCAGTGGAGAGTAGAGCAGCCGTACGTCGCGGCGCTGGTGTATCTCAGGGTCACGGGTGGCATTTCCAGGCAAAAATCAATAATATTCGCGAAATATAGAATACTCGCTCATGCACGTAATAAGAGCAAGAGCGCCGGGCTCTCGCGTAGTCTGCGGCGCCTAAAAGGGTTAGTCGACCCTGCGCACTTCGCTCGGTGCGATCTGCTCTTCAGTTTATCTTCATTTTTTATTGCATATTAACCTTTTCTATTCCCTGTTTTTAAACGTGATTAGTGTTTTTTTTTATTACAATGAAAAGTTCAACAAAGTCGTGGTATTTAAATTTAACAATAGGTGAGTAGATCATCTATAAATCGAATAGTGCAGGGCTTCCTTGGTTCTGTTCTTACTTTACTTTTCGCTTAAACTGTTTAATTAAAGACGTGACACGATTTGTGCACTCAAAAAATTTTAAACGCAATTTTAATAGTCCCGCCATTCCTTTGTATTTACCATTCTTTAAAAAATAATATTTATTTTAGTCTTAACTTTAGTCTGCAGAATATAATGATGCATTTAAGTATAATAATTAAAAAATGATTCATTCAAATTTGAGATTTAAACGTTTAAATCACCGTTCAGTGGAAAAAACATCTCAATCGTCATAACAAGAAATAATTGAAAGAGTAATGAAGATTATATCTCTTCAAAAATATGAAAAAAATAACATGAAAAAACTTAATTGAAGAAAAGGAAAGATTTCAAGCTTGCGTATAATTGAGCTTTTTCCTGGCGGGTTCCGTACTTTTTTGTCCTTAACAACTTCGCAATCGCCGGAGCGCGACAGACTTTGCATTCTACTCGACGGTGCAGTATTCGATCGCAGTGCACGTGCAGCTGTCGGCTGGGCAGTACCGTGTTTTAGTGCGTCGTCGCACATCGCATGTCATTTACGATGCTCTTCGACGTTTTCTTCGAAAAACCAACGGGGAAAAGGCGAAGGTGCAAATTGCCATTGTTAAAAACAATATATAGCCGCTCAGAAGGCGATCGCATGTCACCAACTATGCATCGTGATCATCTTCGATCTGGTAAGCATACTTTTAATCTACTTACATACATTATACTCACCTCGTGACGTAGTTGCAGTCTTGAAACGATCAATTGTCCTATACATACTTTTGTACCTACATTGCCCCGGCTAATTTCGCATTAAAAATGAAAATGGTCTTTTTATTAATGAAACAAATGCTTTTTCCTATGAGTTGTATATTGACACTCTCTACGAAAAGTAACACGTTTCCATTTAAATTAACATACAAACGTGTTACGCTTCGTGAGGATCATCGTTATATATTATATAATCAATGGTAATTTTTTAAATAAGTGTTTATATTTGTTTACAAGATGATTCATCAATAAAAATAGACTAAAATGAATTACACATATGAAACAAAACAAAATTATATTGGATGATATGCTGTTAATCGGTTAAGCATAAAAACTAAATTGTTGACTGATAAACAAGTTCCAAAACCCATATCAAGTGTGTTAAAATATGTTTTTCATTACTTTATTTGGATCGTATGTGTTAAAGATCAGTAACTTAAACCACTCAACGAGACGAAAAGTTAATTTTATTTCAATTAATACTCAATCATTATTATCTATAGTTTTTACGGAAGATTTACAAACAATAAAAAGTCTTGATTTATAATACGTATAATATATGGTGTAGAATAAAAGAAAATCAAGGAAATGGTTTCCACGGAAGCTGATTGGGATATTGCCAGAAAAGGAATTGCTCTTCTGTTGAATAATCAAACCGACGAAGCCGAAAGATTGTTCTCTCAACATCCTCGCAGTTTTCAAATAAAAGCTGGGCGATGTTTCGTATTATTCATGGTAATATGCTTAACTCAAGCTGAATTCTTATTTCTTGGCACCATGTGACTTTTAATCTTTATGACTTGTTCGACCCTTGCACAATGTTTTTTTATTGCCATGGTATGCTTGGAAAATTATGATACGCAAATATTTGTGCAATGAAAGTACGAGCAAATAAAACATACTATAAATTTCTATTTGAAATTCGTTGATAGAGTAAATGGCTCAATATTTATATACATGGATAGGCTTCCAGTAGATTGGTTATTTTGATGATTATTACAATTATTCTACAATATTCAATGATATTAAGTATTTTATTTACTCAAGATACTTTATGGATATTTAAAAATATAGCTACAATCATTGAATATTACAAAATAATTATCATAATTATGAAAGTAACGAATCATCTATGCAGCCCATCCATTAATATATTGGTCAAGTCACTCTTACGAGGTTCGTAAAATATCAGACATTGTGTACGAGTTGAATCTTCTTGCACTTTTTCGCAAGTGCACATTGATATGCCACACGTAGCACGTGAGCCTTGTTATCGTTGCAGAACGCCTTGATGACGTTCGAGGAGGACAAGGTGCGCCAGGCAGTCGAGCTTTTACGAGACATGGAACGAGATTGTCAAGCCAACGACGACGGTTGGCTCAGATCCATGAAAAATCGAGTTTTCGGCCCTGCTGACCTAACGGCCGTAAGTTTTCTTTCTCATTGCAATGATTCAATCGAATTTTTTAATTTACAAATAACTTGCCAATGATTGAAGAAAACAATGGCCAAATTTACGTAAAATAAAATAAAAATAAAGAGGGTCAAAAGAGGCAAAAGTACTGGAGGGCACGTAGGAATTAGGTTGCAGCGCTTGGGTGTTTCTGGTGAATTTTACGTGTATATGAGCAATTCTCTAAATGAAACGCATTTTTGGAGGTAGAATCGCGGCAAATTTTTTTTTCAACCTACGCGGATACGGACCCCCGGGAAATGTTTTTGGGGGTCCTAGGAACATGTAACCACGTAGGAACCATTGAAATTTCAATTGTGCTTACTTTTATAGCTACTTTTGTGATTTAGAGGACGAAAAATCATGTTTTCTCGCAAATTCGGCTAATTACTTAATTTCTAAGTCGCTGAAAAAGTATCAAAACTCATTTTAAAAAAGTGACTGACTACTCCATTCAATAGGAAATTTTCTCAGCTTTTCAATGGTGTTATCAGATTTTCCGATAAGTCGCACATTCACCGAGAAAATCGCCATCAAACATGCCAAGCTAAATATCTCGAAAAACTCGGTACGGAAAAAGTGATCTTAGAGGTTTAATTTCGATTTTTCCTCGTGAAAATGAAATTTATCGAAAAATCTGACTGCACCATGAGAAAGCTGAGGAAATTTTCTATCGAAAGCATATCTTCATTTATTTTTTCAGTGGAATTACGAGCTAGTTTTGATTGTAGTGAGCCGAAAACCTCGCGACCGCGCTGAATCAACTCGGAAACAGAAAACAGCGAACAACGTAAAAGAAATTCCCATGTATAACATTGTAATTCCACTGAAAAAATAAATGAAGATATGCTTTCGATAGAAAATTTCCTCAGCTTTCTCATGGTGCAGTCAGATTTTTCGATAAATTTCATTTTCACGAGGAAAAATCGAAATTAAACCTCAAAGATCACTTTTTCTGTACCGAGTTTTTCGAGATATTTAGCTTGGCATGTTTGATGGCGATTTTCTCGGTGAATATGCGATTTGTCGGAAAATCTGATAACACCATTGAAAAGCTGAGAAAATTTCCTATCGAATGGAGTAGTCAGTCACTTTTTTAAAATGAGTTTTGATACTTTTTCAGCGACTTAGAAATTAAGTAATTAGCCGAATTTGCGAGAAAACATGATTTTTCGTCCTCTAAATCACAAAAGTAGCTATAAAAGTAAGCACTATTGAAATTTCAATGGTTCCTACGTGGTTACATGTTCCTAGGACCCCCAAAAACATTTCCCGGGGGTCCGTATCCGCGTAGGTTGAAAAAAAAATTTGCCGCGATTCTACCTCCAAAAATGCGTTTCATTTAGAGAATTGCTCATATATACGACTAACGTGGAGTACTTTTTTTATTTTTTAATTGGTCTTTCGTGAATAAATTCTTTAGTAAAAATGTTGTAAATATTGTTACTGTGATATTTGTTAAGGATTTTTCGATACATTACCGTCTCGAGTCTCGATTAGAATTTGGCGAACGATCGATAGTCTTTATCTTGGAAATCAACCTCTTTTAACTCGCGATCACGTCGATAAATCTACTTCCATTTCGCATGAGTGAAATAGAAGCACGCCGAGCTTCGTAGTAATTTGCGCCAGCTGCACAATCGCTTTATAAACAAACTCTGCGGCCTCAATCGTCGCGCGTCCTTGCAGTCTACACGGCGTCGCATAAGCGCGGCTCCCATGCGATCGTGCCGTGCACTGACATCGTCTTGTGCATCAACACTTGGACGGGCTTTTTACTTTGCTGAAGGGCATGAAATATTTAGGCTAGTTAGCATAGGCTCCGAGACGAGCTCCAGGTAGTCATGGCAAGGGAGCCGAGAATGTGCGAGCACATGTTCTTGCCTAATTGACGAGTGTATGATATTTTTTTCTGTGTAACTTTTCGAGCAGAAGGAGTACGTGCAGAGATTGGAACGACAGGTCGTGTTGGCGGACTCGCAAGTGTGCGCGGCACTTTTGACACTTCTGCAACAGGAGCTGAGCGGCTACGTGCGCGCCGGCTGGATGCTGCGTAAAGCTTGGCGGATCTATCAAAGCACCTATAATCAGATACTGCAGCTGCATAGACGTACTTTTGGCACCTGTCCATCTGGTTCGTACACGTTTCAACTTCCCTACTTTTTTTCACTGCTATTTCATTTCCTACGAATCACCTCATATCGTCCCACCGAAAAATTTACTTTGGTTGAAAATCAATATGCGATGATTCTGACTGTAGGTTTCAATTCGAATCAATCGTAGATGTTTCAGGACTGATTTTTTATAAACATTTTTGGCTACTAATCTGTGGCATGAATTTTAAACACACGAAAAATGTTTTCTACAGTAACACCGACAAAAATGAAATTGTAATTGACATATTAATAAAGAAACATCGTCAATCAACTGTTGGTTTTCAATATTTGATTAATTGCAATTAACAAGGAAACTACCTGACATCTGAGTCATGGATTCGCTCTAAATATTTTGGGGATTTCTTGATTCCTAAGAATGAAGCTCCCTGTATTTAGTTTAATCTCATATGCCTTAAAGACCATTTTTTAAAAGACTTTCCATATTATAAAAAAATTGTTGTTATTTTTCATTTCGAGATAGAAGGACTTAAATGAAAAAATGCACAAAATTTTATCATAATTTTTGAAACTGTCTGTCCCTTATATTGATAGGCCCAAATTTCACGTTTTTCTTAGGGATTTTAGAGACCTCTGAAAAAGGGTAATGAGTAATTTTAAAAATTCTTAAAAAGTTCTGACAGATTCTTTGAAAAATGTTGAGATTTTTTTGTGTACTTCTATTTCGAGAGCTTCTATCTCGAGATAGAAAATAGCAACGATATTTTAATATTATAGGAATTTCTCTCAGGCCTTTAGAGCAAAAGAATTAAAAAATATTTGACTCATGATATCGAAATCGATAGGTTTTGCATCACTGCGAGGTAGTATCAGCGGCAGCGGAAATCCACCGTCGCAGCTGACCAGTCCCTCAAGTCCCAATCAGCCCGACTGGTCACCCGCCTCATCGTACAACGGCAGCGCGAGGAGCTCGTTAAACGATGGTGGACCTGGGCCCTACGTCACGCCCACTTCGCCGTTCGAAACACCGTCGTCAGGTCTGCGCAGCTCACTATCAATGCTCTTCTCGTTCGCCGGCATCTCCTCAGAACAACCGACACCGTAATTCTTTATTTTTAACAACAAAAACGACAAACAAATATAGAATCATAGAGTTTACGTAGTAATTTTTCAACACTTTTACATTAATCTTTGATTAATTAAAAAAAAAAATATGTCGGTAGATTTTTTCTAGTATGGTGCTTGTTGCGTAGAAAGTCACACGAACGAAGAAGTGGTAATTCTCTAATTCACCATTATGAGATATAAAAGTCACATATTTACAAGTTAGCGCTCGCGATAAAGTTTAGTTATTTTAGAAATTAGATAAATTGCTCTTTTTAAAATAATTAAAGCTAGGGAAAACCTACCAATAATTGACCAGCACCCACTTAATAATTGCTTTTAAAAATGTGTTAGATAAAACAACTAGAAATACATTTGCATGGATATTATTCAATTCTTTTCACAAATGGTGCATCTTATTTCCCGTGTCCAATTATTATATAACAAGGAAAGAGTATACTTGCTGTACATTCTAAACGGGACATTTACTGGTTGAAAACCTCCAATCACTGGTTAAAATACCTTATTACACGTAAATTCTTTATTTTTATTTCAATATAATTTATTTCATGGTATTATTAGCTTAAAAGTATTTTTCATCAGAAACCTTTTTTAGAACATACATTTGTTTACTACTTGTTCATAGACTAAAATTATTTTATTATGTGAAATTGTTATTTAAATAATTCATTCATATTAAAAAAAAGCGATGAAGTTGTAGTTATCATAAAGTTGAACGTTCATACAGGTTCGTGGAACCGACAGAAGTCACTCGTTTAATGACGGCCGTTAGCTTCGGTTACGGAGTATTTCAACTATTCGTGAGCTTGATGCCACCCACCATGCTAAAATACATCCACTTGCTGGGTTTTGAAGGTGACAGGCAAGCAGGCCTCACGGCTCTCATGTACTCGAGATCCAGCCAAGACATGCGAGCTCCACTCGCTACGTACGTTACTTTATATATTTGTATGTATGTACTACACATTTCTGACGTGCACTAGGCATACAGACGAGCACTTACGTATTTATATACCTCTTTGGAGTCATACCTTTTGCCCTCCAAAGCTTTTCATGCAAAGAAAGCTCGTTATTTGCCCACGTTTTCTTTCCGACTAAGTGAGATAAGAGCGACCTTTCATCTTTCACCAACTCAAATGAGACAGAATTATATTTTTTCTTTTTTTTTAATACATTTGACGAATAAAGAAATGTTGAAATTACAGGCTAGCCTTGCTTTGGTTCCATACAATCGTCAGACCATTTTTCGGACTGGATGGAGCGAACGTAGAGGCTGGCGTCGAAGCTGCCAAAGAACTTCTCATAGAGAGCCAGCCAGAATTCGGAGACTCGGCTGTTTTTCTTTTTTTCCACGGCAGAATTGAACGTTTGCAGGTAACATTTTTGATTAACGTAAGAACTTGATAAAATTTTCGGGGGCAATAATTATTTTCTTATCGTATTACAAGTCGAACGTCAATGGAGCATTGCGTGCCTACCAGAGAGCTGTGCAATTATCCTCGCAGAGAGAAGTGAAGCTACTATGTTTGCACGAGGTTGCCTGGTGCCATTTGATTCACCTTAATTACGAAGAAGCTCACGGCTCCTTGACCAAATTACAGGAAGACTCTCGTTGGTCTAAGAGCTTTTACGCTTATCTAGCCGCCGGTAAGTGTTCTTAATTTGATCCTTGCATGCTGACGTCGAGAACGTCACATGCTATACCGCGATTAACTCGAGCGATTAAAAGCCAATATTCGAAATTAATTTTTATTACTCAATGAGTAATACTCGTATCGAATTCTTTGGCATTTTAGTGTCTTCTGGATCCGATGGACACTTTGATCGAGTAATTTCAATCAATCGGAAGTTGATATTTCTGTTGACCGGCACCGCAAGAGAATCCCAAATTGGCATTTTCATTGCAAGGCGAGCTCCAAAACTCATAAATCCTGATAATGGCGAAGTTTACACCGTCCCGCACTATAGAATGCTGGTTTACGAGCTGCTGTATTTGTGGAATGCCATGCCCTCGTGCTCCAAAGAATCACTTCGCGTTATTGTATTTGGTGAGACTTACAATTTTATCTAAATCCAAAAATTCTTAACTTTTATAATTTTATCGTTAATAATTCGCTTGCTCAGATTGTAGAAACAGTCGGTCAGAAGAACCCATGACTGGCCTGGCTGACCTTCTCGAAGGTGCAGCTTATGCTTTCCTCGGAGACCAAGATGCTTCAGTGAGGTGCTATCGAAATTGCTTAGCACGCCGTACACCGTCCAAAGATGTCATAGATCAGCATATTAGTGCATTTGCTCTTTATGAGTTGGGCAGTGCATTGTGTGATATGAAAGTATGTTATTGGTCAAACATTTTATTCACGTATTTGAACAAATATTTCAATATTTGTATTTAAATCTTGCAGAATTATGAAGAAGGAAGATTTTGTTTTCACAAAGCGCTAACGATGTACAAAAATTATGATTTCGATGGTCGCCTTAGCGTTCGAATTCATTCTGCGCTCAAGAAAGTTTTGACTATCGACGTTAGATAAAAAAATTTAAATGCTTTCAACGCATTGTATTTTGTATCAGCAAATTTTAAATGATGAAACATAAACATAGAAAAAGATGACTTAATACGATGAATAGCATACCGTGATATTAATTTAGCGCTTTTATGATAAAACATAAAAAATGAAAAAATATTACCATCTATGATGGTCACTCAATAAAACACAGAGTATATTACACATAATAATATTGTGTATATTGCAATAATGTACAAAATAATCAAAAAGTTTAGCGTGTATCATTGCGTTATCGATGTAATAAATTGTTTGAATTAACCTTGCTTAGTCGCGAATTTAGTATTGACCATGTATCTACTTAAAAAATCAAATTGACGCAATGTATTTATGTTATAAAATATATATGTCTAATACTTATTTAAAACGTTGAATTTTTTTTCTGAAATAAACATTTTAACTCGGAAGTTTAATGGAAATTATTAAAAGTGATGGTCCTCGATTTGCTTGATGAGTTAAGTTTTTTAATGCAAATTTTAATTAATAACACGAGGATCTTATGTTAGAGAAATATTTACATTGTAAGTGCGGGTTTAATAAAATTTACATACATGCAAACATTCCGACCACATATGATAATTATGTAATCATATATTACCAGCAAGATGTTTATAAAATTTTTAAATCAAAATAAAATTGTTTATTTCTTTTTGATTCCTGGAATCGATTATATATTTCTCTAAGTAACTTGGATGAATTTATATTTTCTACTTTTTTTATAGTTTAGTGCTTAAAACTATGATAAGAATATTCTGTTTATAATTATACATTAACCATGCAAAATAATCTGAAGATAGTTCACATTAAAAATGTTGGTCATAACCTACAGAAACGCTGTATTGTCAACTCGGAATTATTTTTTCATTACAAATAATACTATGTTAATAATCCAATGAGTTACCAAAATGGTTGCAGTTTTGAACCGGGAAATTGTGTTGTTCAAGATCATTCTTGCAGAAAAGGCTCTTGGTTTTGTAAATTTCTCAAACCATTGTTTTCTTTTGTAGTGTCTGTTGCTCTCGGTGAGGGTTAAGAACTTTTGTAAATCCAGCGCAATATTTCATCTTTAAACTTAAAATTTTTTTTTTTTTTAGTATTATCCATATCTCATGTATGTGAAAAATATTCGTCCAATAACTCTTTTCGAGAAATTAAGGCAGATTTGAGTTCATTAAGGAATAATTTGAACATACTCTCGGTAAGTAAGTAAATATACGTTCATTGTAGTTAAAGAAAAAAAAATTATCGATAACTTTATAGGATGACGTGAAAACTTTGATGGAAGCAAAAGAATTGCATACGAGTAAATGGAAAGATGTAGCATGTAAGGTTCCTAAAATAACTGAGGCCATTTCTAACTTAAGAACGGAATTGACTGAAGGTATATCATCCAACAACTTGATGATTTTTTTATAGTTAAATATCATTCATTACTTGATTTGGTAGAAGCGGAAAGATTACAAGAATTGTCATCTCCGGATAATATTAAAAAAATAACAAATCAACAACTCGAAATATATAATGCAGATAAAACTGGGCAAGCAGATTATGCTTTAGAAACATCAGGTACTACTTTCATTAATTGAATAAAGGGCATTTCATGGCTTGTTTAACTATTTTCGGATGATAGGTGGAGCAATTATTTCTATTAGGAAAACAGAAACATACACAGGTGGCGCAGTGGCTTGGAAATTATTAGGAATGCCTATTTGTAAACAAGATAATAATCCAAGATCTATTATTCAGGTTAAAAAATAATGACACTGATTTTCAATAACAATGTTTTTTGGTAACCAGATTAAAAAAATAAATTTCCATCAGAAAGGGGTATTACCTGGGGAATGTTGGGCTATCAGAGGAAACACTGGAGAAGTAGTAATTCAACTAATGGGTAGCGTTCGTGTGTCTGGTTTTAGTCTTGAACATATATCTCCTGCTATCTCTCCTACCGGTGAAAATAGTTCAGCTCCGAAAGAATTTTCAATTTGGGTTAGATTCGAAATCTTAAAAAAAATTAGTATTCTTAGGGTTTATGAAATTGATAGAATATATTTTACTAAAGTTTTTTAATTTAGGGTCTTGACGATGAGCACGATAAAAATCCATTTATGTTTGGTAAATATACTTATGATATTAAGGGTCCAGCTGTACAGTTTTTCTCCATACAGGTAGTCACTGAGTCATTTGAAATTTAATTTCTAAGTAACAAAGTAATATCTCTTTTCAAGTTATAATTATGATTTTAAAGAAGGATCCAAAGAGGGCATATGAATTTGTTGAATTGAAGATTCATTCCAATGGTGGCAATAGCAAATATACATGTATCTACAGAATCAGAGTGCACGGCATTCTTGAATCGTATCAAGAGATTAGAGTTTAGATTTAACAGATGTGCATACAACTTTTACATGAATAAGTTTGAAACAAGATGTAAGGGAATTTTATGTTTCAAGTAACTGAGAAAATTCTGAACCCCCATTTTCTATATTTGTATAATTTTAATTTTATAGGCAGGTATATTTAGTAAACTATACAACAATGTGTCTAATAAAAATATGATACTATTAAAAAATGTATGGTTTTAAAAATAAGTTGTATTGTTTTAAAATGTTAAGTAAAAGTAATAATTTTTAAAACATTCGAAATAATATAGTTATTTAATATATTTTCTTTGTACAGATCTTAAATTCTATAAATTATTTTTTCCTATGTTTCATTACTTTTGCTAATTTGCTGACATACATATTAATCTCGCTCATACATTTTATTTTGATAATCACTCCTTACAATAGAATATAACTATATCAATTCAACAAGATCCACTCACACTTTGTGTTCTCAATTTGCTCAAGCCAATTACGTTATAGATAGCTCAGCGCAGATTTTCTTTATATCATATATATATATAATTTTTAATGCTGCCAAACCAAAACTACAGCATAAAATTGTTTTTTTTTCACTAAATTTATAAATAAAATAGTTCAAAACTGCACAAGAAAAGCAGTTTTTTGACAAAAAATTTCATTCGCGTATCATGTATCTTTTTATTACACTTCGAAGCTTCTATTCATTATTATTTCTTAATCTTTAAATCAATTTCATTGGTATTTCATACGTTCAAATTAATGCTCTTATATACTTCATAAAATTGAAACCACTCTCTAATCGAAGAATGAAGTGTTATATTTTCTTACATTTCTTTAATAAACATTTTTATTTTTCTTAATGTATATTTCATTAATGTAATGCGATGCATGGCAATTCAACGAAGTTGATTAATTTCGCAGGTTTTTTTCGTATTTTGATAATTATGTTTCGTTACCGTAAAAAATCTGCGAATAATTTAATGCGACACAATAGCTTATATGTTACATTTAAAAAGATGTGTACACCACTCGTTGCTAATTATAAACGTTTTTTTCTCCGCTAATAGTTCTTTAATTTTTTATTGGATTCTTTTAAAAGTTTTTTTTAAACATTTTTGAATAATTTATATCCTTTAGAATCAATGAAATTAAAATGAAATGGTGAAGAAAATTATATACGTGTGAAAAGAGAGGCACGTTTATATTATTCAGTAAACATTTGATAGAAACGTTTATTATTTTGTTCAATTTTTGCAGTGTAATTGATTGGCGATGGGTAAGATTCGCTATAGAATCAGCTAATTGCATTCGAATCACTTGATCAATAATTAGAGATCAGTCGTCTAAATCTAATTTGACTGAACGATTTTACACGGACGTGGTGCCAAGATATAAATTTTAGTCCGATAAATTTCGTTGAAAAATGAAAAAAGTTGAAGATGAAAACTTGAAGGCCAATTTCGTGATTGAAACAATGTTGTTACAAAGTATTAACTACGTAGAGTTAAATTGATTGTCAGAAGAGTTATCGAGCTCTATTCAAACTGTTAGCTAAAAAAGTTTTTCCTCGTTAATTGGTCGTCGAATAACGTTTATACTTAAAAATGATGAAAAAATTATGCGATTATCTTTCGATTTATTAAAAAGTTTTTTCAATAGTATTATTAAATTGTTTTCTTTAATTGAGATCCAGAAATTCTTGTCACTACTCACATATGATTAACTTGAAAAGTTTTTTTCCAAAAAATATATAAGTATGTACACATTATATACATTTTTTCATGAGACATTTAACTACTAGAGCTGCTTGCAGCACACATTTTTAAACATACCCTTAAAGCATATTATAAGAGTATATATAATTTTTCATGTTATATAGCTGGCTGAATACATGTTTGAGCCAGATTAGTTTCTTTATTTTGATGTCACTCAAGAGTTGCCTTTATGTAGTAATTTAATTCAACATTATTTTCATCCAATAATCTCATAAAATTCTTAAAACATATACATATAAAAGTTTCCGGCCCGATAATTCCAACAGATAATGTCGGAAAACGCCCAAGTTGTCTCGAAGAATAAAATTTATTGATTTTGAGGTACTGCAGTGATTGTAATAAAAAAATTTACTATTTTGGATAACATTTCATAGTCATTTACAGTATTTTAGGAATAATTATCTACCATATAAATCCTCCCGAATGAGATGGATGATGGCATCATTATATACGCGAGAATAAGGTTCATCAACGTTTTGTGAAGGCAAATAGTTATCTTTTTCATTAAACTTGACAGTGATTGAGTATACAGTAGCTATAAGTAGTATCAAAATAAATAACATTGAGTGTATAAAGAAGAATATAATAATTATAGTACATTTATGTACAGAACTTTCGATTCAATCGTTAGTTTTTCATGTTAGCTTTTTCACAATTTCATTCACTCAAGTAAATTATGCTAAACCCTCAACAGTTTGATACTGTTATCGTTTTTACTTCGCTTTAATTTTCGCAATAGTGCTTCCCATACATTCAATAATTAAAGTATATCACAGAGGTTAATGAGAAAAATCGCACTATGACGCTGAAGAGCAGAGTATAAGTACGTAAAACATATACGTAGCGAAGAAAAAGGATTTAATTACACTCAAATAACAAATGTGATGAATGAAACGATGATAGAGTTGAGCACATTCACAAAAGCCCTTTCATGCAAAGTTGTAAAATCTCGAAAAGTTTGGAAAATTTTGTAGAAAAGTGAAGATGTGATACAATGATCGAGTTGAGATTATATTATCTCAGTGCATAGAGGATATATTAATATTATAATGTCGATGAAAAAGTTCACTAACTACAATTCACGTTCCTTCAATGTTTTTTCGTACACAATCAAGTTTATTATTGCTTTTAAATAGAATTACTGCGTTGCACGTGCAAATCACTAGCCGTTTCAAAAATAACATATTATTTACTATTCTACTATTTTATATTACAGTAAGAAGAGTTTTTCAAACGAAGTCTTTATAGATTTAATAATTCCATTTGCTTCTGCAACTTGATTGATGATTACATGTACAAAGAAAAACTCGATGACTGCAAGTTTTGCGATGTACAATCTCGATGATACGACGTATGACTTTATTTGTTAGATTTTTGTAATATTTTTAGAAAATATTTATTTTATACTATTTGTATATTTGAGACATTAAAGTGTTTCTCTGGGTAATTGAAGGATTTTTATATATTCAGTTTCATTTGAAATACTTCATCAGCACAAAATCCACGAATTTCCTATAAATACGCTAAATTTGACCTATGAACAACTCGTCACTTTTAGTGCCATTACTTGTTACAAGTTGTAGTATTTTGATTATACGGAGACACCGACAATTTTTTCATTTTTAATTCATTTATGATAATCTAGCAAACACTCATTGATTAATTGTAATCTATGAACACGCGTAACTCATGGAAGTGACTATGAAGTGCATGATTTTGTTGTATAAAAGCTTTTTTAATCAACAACTACTTAAGTTAGCTCATCTCAATGACATGTGAATTGCTTGATTTGTTATTGTAACAGCTAGTTTTGTTCATAAAATGTGTTTCTGCGTAACATCTATTGGAAGGTTCGTTTGTCCATAATACAACTTATGTAACGTAATAACCACTCGCAAAAAGTCTACATTGTGTCACCCGAAAAAACATAACATCAGTTTCAGCGATAACACTACACAGTGTAACATACGTGATGCTCTTCTTTGTAAATGCAAGGAAGTGAGGCGTCCGTTCGTGGCACTGAGTTCGTAACACAATACGCGTACACGCACTTTACATATCGTATAATAGTTTTGTTCTTTATAAAAGGTGTATCGAAGGCAATAGAAGGTATGAGATTTCTATATGTGATTATTCACCTATATTGTCATACACTACAGTCTTTCAGAATAATTCACACGAAAAAAATTATCTTTTTTGTCGTAACGAGTGGCTGCGCGTGCAGCCGTGAATCAAAGAGATTATGTAGCACTCTTCGATCTGATTATAGTATGATAATGATATCGCGTCTTGAATATAAAATCAAGGCTCGAAATGCAACCGAAACGACAAAAGGAATTCGTTACCAATGTCAATACGGAAATGCGACGTAATATCGAAGTATGCACACGCGACGACTCGGCTTTATTATTGCTCGAAGCTGCCGCTCTCAGCATGCTCGGGTTCAGTCAGTCTGCTGCAGTCGAAAAAGATCAGCTCTTCTACGTCGCGCCGTTGTCCTCGCGACTAGGGCTGCGCCTCCTGCTGCTCTTGTCGCTCGAGGCGCTTCGCTCTTCGCCACCGTCGCCGACTTGAGTTTCTTGCTCTCGCTGCTCCGGGCTCGCCGCGCTCCCGTCGACGAAGATGCACAGCTCTACGCCGCTGCCACTGCTGCGACTACTGTTGGTGGGCTGGCCGATCGCGGCGCTTCCTCGAGCCGACTGCTCGTTTTTCTCTTCCTCCTCCTCGTCTTCCTCTTTCACGTACAAACCATAGCCGGCCAAGGGCGAGGCGGCGACGGGCTTGAGGCGAGACGGCCGCCGCTCGTTGATGATGGACTGCACGTCGACGGGTTCCTCGAGCAGCATCGATATGGGTGACGAAGTCGCGTACGGCTCGGTCCTCGAATCGCTTTCTCGGCCGTCTCTTCGGGCATTTGGAACGACGAGCCCTCCACCAGCTCCGTGACTCGACATACTCGACGAACGAGATGCACTGTGAAAATAGTCGATCAAATACACGTCCAGAAAATCGACCAGTTGATTTAAATTACGTATTTAAGTGGGAAAACTCACCCAGTCAAGACGAGGCTCGTGCTCGAAGAGGCAAGTTCCGGCGTCGGTATCCTCGCCTTAGCCAGGCTCACGTCGGCCACGGGACAGAGAAAATGTTTCTGCTTCGAGCTGCCGAGGCTGTCGGACGTCGTTGACTGATTGGAGCCTCGGCGCTGCTGGAAGGACTCGACGGACGAAGGTCTCAGGTAGGAGGATTTATTGTCTACCGCCAGATATTTGGTGCTGCCAACAGCAGCAGGAATGGACGCGTTGCTGCTATTCGTCGAGCCGCCGCCACCGCGCTGAGGTATGATGCGGGGCACGCTGAGGTTGCTGTTGGGCTTGCGTATGAGCTCGGCTACCTCGAAGTGCATGGACGACTGACTGCCGCCGACGCCTCCGCCTCCGCCGGGGGGTTCACGATCCTGAGAATGGAAGGTCTGACGTCGCTTAACTTTGAATTTGGCTGGCTTAGAGCTAGCAGCTCGCTGGTAGATGGAATGCCGGCTATCATCCATTGTTGATACAGCTGCGTCTGTGGGAATGCAAAATAGCCTGGCATTAGGCTACGTCTGGACGGATCGAAAATTCGACACTCATTGAACATAAATCCAACACATATAGAGAGATACGCACACACATATAATAGGCAATGCTGTACTTGAGATTTTAACCGATTAATGTGGTGGGAGGGGACTGTTCGTGGTTGTCGCAGTTTCTCGAGACATTGATTTGTGAACAAGTTTTCAGGGTACTACATTTCAAGTATAAATACTTCATAACTACGGTGATATGCTTGAAACAGATGACCATGCGGTCAACAAATTTTTCATTGTTATGAAACAACATCGATCGATGCACCAATAAGTGAACAGATGACACAACGTAATAGAAGTGATGATGTGGAGATGGACCATTTTATATGTAAAAATGTAAGTGCCTTAATTTTGCATCGATATTGGTGCTCGAGTGAAGTTAAAAAGATCAGTGAAATGTATTTCACGCCTTCTTGAGCTGTGCTTTTCGGAGCACACAGCTTATTTTTTACAATATCCGGTGAGACACGTAACGCAACAGGTACAATAGGTCAGATATCAAAAATAAGGGAATATCCCCACAAAACTACAGACGCTTATTGATTTTACCTTCAATAAGGTCGCTTATAGATAGAAATTTTAAAGCATAAAAGTCTATCATTGAAGTCGACAAGCCATGCGTCGTTAAAACTACGTAGTCTGTAAAGAAAATGTTAGAAAGCGTAAACTTAGGCCTGACTAAACTTTTTAAGACAAAAATAGCAACAACAATAGCAAAATACAAAATTATATTATCAGACCCAGAGTGGATAATAAAGTACATGGGAAAAAGTATAAAGAGTCATCAGAATTAGGCAAGAGAATAAGCGAAGGCTTTAAACTGTCAAGCTATACCATCGGTCGTTTTCTCCCTTTCGGCTGGTGGATTGTAGGTGAAATTCGAGGGCAGCGATCGCACCTTGGATAATCCAGGCCTACCGCTGCCCGAAAATTCGTCGCTGCCATCGGCCTCGTTCAGCTCCATTTCGTCCTTTTCGTCCAACACATCGCTACGATCTTTCTTTTTCATCAATTCGTCGACGTCTTCGGGCTCGTCTTCCTCCTCGACTTCCTCGAGAAGTTCTTCCTGTTCGGCCGCCAGCTCTCGTTCTAGCTGGTTTTCCATGTCGAGCTCATCTTCCATCTTTAAGCAACCGACAGACAGGCACATTTCGTTACTCGAATCTCGCATTTTGGTACGACCGACACAGACATAGTAACGACCGTTTGCCCATTTAATACCAAATTTTTTAGCCAACAACTGTTTTAAATTTTCGACAAGTAAATAAAATATCTTGTAAGACTAAAAGCTATGTGCAGCGTTAAATATTTTAATGATAAAAATCGACGTATATAATGTGGTTTAGCACTATTTGAATGTCAAATAACATAATTAAAGTATTATCGTATAAAATATCTAAAATCCTAGATACAGGATGAGCACAACAGTAAATTGCAGTAAATACCAAATTTTTTACTTGAGCCAATATGAGTGCGATTTTTTTGTTGTCATATAAACACCATAAATCATTTCTTATTTTCTATTGACTGGACACTACTGTTGTTCGCATCCTCTTCTAGTATAAAGATAAACTGAGGCTAATAAATCCCAGTTGAGTCGTATATGTATACGTATATACAAACCCACAATGTACTCTGTGTACATGTATACATCCCAGATATAAATTTTTGAAGCATACATGCCGTGCAGCAAATGGGCTAATTCAATTCGAATGTATATAGATATAAAAAATCTACAGTATTTGATGTAAAAAGTAAAAGCTCTTGTAAATTTTCAATAGAGATAATGAATAGATATTAAATTATTCTATATCAATTGGATATATAAAGAGACGTAAGTTGATATTCGTAGGGCAAATATGAAATCCCGACAAGTCCCCAGTAAATTCGTAAAAAAAAAGGCGAGAGGGAGTTGAGACATTACCTGCTTGTGGCTCTCTTCGAGATGTTTCATAAGTACGGCCACGACGACGTTGACGAGGACGAATTGCGCCATGAGGACAAAAATGACGAAGAATATGGGGGCGATGATGTTGCTGACGCAGCAATTCTTCACGCAGTCAGCGGCATCATCGCAGTTGTCCCGAAGCGTGTCCTTCATGATGCCGTTCCAGTTGTCACCGGTCGCAACCCGGAACAGCGTCAGGAAAGCCATGCCAAAATTGCTGAAGTGAGCGTGCTCGCCGAGACCTTGGCACGGATACTCGTCGCTACATTCTGCAAAAAGGCGTACGGCATCGTTAGGGCTTTCTTTTTTTTGCGCACTTCACCAAGTCTTCATATAGTTTCGTTCGTCGTCCGGAAAATAGCCACACGCGAGATGTATGACCGAGTCGCCGCGTCAAAAAAGCTTGATTAATGACTGAATCGCGTTGAGACAAAAAAGCTTTGCCTGCTTCGAGTGGGCCGAAGTGAAAGTTTGATCGACGATACGATTCGTCTAATTTATCGCGTTTTTATCGAGATATTTACCTAGTCGACCAAAGAGTTCAACTCCCAGTGCAGCGAATATAAAAAATAATAGGAAAAACAATAAGCCGAGATTTCCAACTTGAGGTAATGCCTGCATCACCGTGTCCAGAAGTGCTCTGATACCCTTGGCCATCTTCAGTAGTTTCAAAACTGTTGACATTCAATATGATTGATGTAGGTATAGTTGATTCGGTTTAATCAGTCGCTATATACTTACCTCTGGCAATTCTTAATACTCTCATGACGCGTATAATCGTTGGATTTATGGGAATAATTTTTGACTCGACCTCCTCCAGAACGATACCTACTACTGACAATATAACTATACCAATATCAAGTTGGTTCCATCTGTAAATTAAAATTCCAAATTTAAATTAAAGTCCATAGAAAAAAAAACTTTCAAATTTGCCCAGAAGCGTACTTGTCTTTGAGGTAGAGATGAAGCCCAAGAGCCAACAGCTTCATTGCTGACTCGAGGATAAAAACGGCCGTGAAGAAGTAATTGAATATTTTCAATGCATAAGTCAAAGCTTTTGGCATCATATAAAATTCGAGTGCCATAGTGACGACGTTTAAACCGATCACGGCGGCGATCGCAAGATCAAAGTACTTGGAGGTAACGACGTTGTGGACGAACAGTCGGGACTTGCAGTAATCATTGTAATAAGGCGGTTCGTGCATTTCTGCAAAAGTAAACGGGAGGAAAACCGTGAAAGTAGATTATGAAAAATTTTCTCACTTCTTATACATACTTCTTCTTTTCTTTTCCATTTGTAATGCACGTTTGGCAGCTCTTCGAACTCGTTCCTCTTTCTCCTGCTCCTCGCGGCAGCGATGGAAATTCTCCACGACGACCCCGACGAACATATTTAATACGAAAAAGCCCACGAGTAGTATAAAAGAGATGAAGTACAACAATCGCCACTCTGAATAATTTTCTATTGGCTGAAACAGGAATTTAAACATTGAAACGTGTAATAACTCGTGCCGTGTCGAAAATTCATCAGCGAGTAATTAATTTCGCTTTTTGCGCGTGCTTTACATTTTCAATTTGACGCAAACGGTGTATCGATTTGCCTAAATCCTTGTCTCCGATGACGAAATACATCGTTCGGTCGCGATTCAATTAAATTGAATTAATCCTGCTATTTTTTTTTTCATCCTCGTTACGCGCACTACGAACGAGCAAAGTGGCCGTCCAATTTTCAATAATACAAAAAAATGCCAATATTTCGCTACTACGGATGACGCGGGACGCTGCGCGACATTCCGATGTTAATTTAATTTTCCAGCAACGCTAAAGGGATGCAACGATCGGCTTGTATAATTGATGTACTGTACGCACAGATGTGTACAGCGGAATATGCATTAACAAAGGATCCACTCGTAATTTTCAGTACATAGCCCCAAGTAGATCGAACTAGGTGAACACGGGCGGCTATCGGTGCGTACTTGGACGCTTTGCCTGCTGGCTATATACGTTATACCTGTGGAGTCGAGGGAGTGCGGCGCAGGCAAAGCGGAAAATACTCGTGATTACCTGCTGATCGACTCCGACGGCGTCGAGGCCCGTGTACATGATATTGACCCAGCCGTCGCGCGACGACAGCACGAACAGCGACATCAGTGCCTTGCCCAAATCGTCAAAGTTGTACTTGCGATTGAGCCAGACGTTGCGGCTGTCCGACAAGCAGTCCGTCTTGTTTCGCACGTTCTTGATGTCCGGCCCGTCGCAGTAGTAGAAGGCGCCCTTGAACAGCTGAACGCCGAGGATGCCGAAAATCACGAAGAACGTGCAGCAGATGAGGACGATGTTGCCGATGGGCCGCAGCGACGAGAGCAGAGTCTGCACGACGAGCTTTAAGCCGGGCGCCCGATTGATCACCCGCAGCGGTCGGAGCGATCGTAAAAGACGGAAAACCTGCGCAAAGTAGCGAGCCCCAACGGCAAACGTATTATAAGCCTGAAAAGAAAGTATGCCGAGCGAAAAGAAATATGTCGCAGGTTTACTTACGCGCAGTATGCCGAATATTCGTGGACTGCTCGATGAAAGGAGAGACATGCCTAGGTCGATGATGGAAATAACGACTAGCGAGCCGTCCATTATATTCCAGCCAGATGTGAAGTAAGCATTCGTGCCGTATAACATTCCTGTCGCGACGACCTGTGGAGGCGTAAATCCAGAAAGAAAGAGAGAGAGAGAAGACATATTATTTATTTGAACATACACGTGTGTACTGTAAAAGGGCGAAGAAATGAGCGCACGCGAGCTGCTATTGCAGATTTACGCGCAAACAAATTTAAAAAATTCTCCCACACGGTGTACGCGTGTTTTTCGCTTGACGCTGCTTTTTTTCAACCCCTTTGCCCTGTTAATGCTAGACCATTGTTCGCATTTTTTGTATTTATCGTTCTTCGCTCTTTTTCTTTTTTTCATATTTTTCGTTTAAATTTATGCACCTCCATACTCGTTTGATGATGCATTTTTTGTTTGTGCTTTTTAAAAACTCGTATGATTTGTTATTGCAGAGCTTGAACTGGTCAAGTCAATGAAAATCTATGTCTGAATCGAGTCTCGTACCTTGACAAACATTTCGACGGCAAAAACGGCGGTAAAAACGTAATTAGCACTCGCGAGAAAGATTCGCTCCTTGCTGTCGGGCGGAATATTCGGTCGTTCCATGGCCAGTGTTATGCAGTTTAATCCGATGAACAGCAGCACGACGTTGTCGAACCACTTCTGCTCGACGAACCAGTGGCAGAGCTCGCGAAACCTAAGAAAACAGACAAGTGGCGCGACGTTAGCCCTTCGATTGCCACTGTGAAATGTAGTCGATATTACGACGTGCCAACCTGTTGTTCGGCGGGAAGATGTAAAGCGAATAATCGTCTCGCTCTTTGAGGCATCCTTTCGGTTCGAAAAACATGAAGATCTTTTTGATCTTCTCGACGCTGCCGGTTTGGCTGTCGCCGCCGCCGCCTGTTCCGAGCTCGTTCGAGTGCGTCGACGTCAACTCTCCATTACGGAGATTAAGCTCCGTCTCCTCTTCGGAGTAGCGGGGCTTGACCGAGGGCAACGCGCCAGCAGTCATCTCGTGATGGCTCAAATTATTGATCGTGTGAGCCGGTGAGCTCAATGGCACTTCCTCGACCGGAAGGATTTTTCGCGTGGCGAGGCTCTCAAAGCCGCGTAACGAAGTGCGACGAGATAACTCCTCCGTCCAGTGGTACTGCACAAGAATAAACACGTCGAGTGATAAAAGCCGACATAACGTCAGACGCGTCGGCTTCGTGACATTTTCACTATACTTACTCTCGGGGTATAACGACATTGCACGGATGATCTTCGACTCCTAACTGAATTATTTGGACTAAGGCTATGATTGTTTATCATGGCAGTTGAGCGATTATTTGGAAAATCGCAATGCGTGTCGTTCCTTATGCTTCCTTGCAGATATCCATTATTGTAAGTTGTGTAATCTCCGCAGCTTCTAAAGCGCAAAGGGCAAGAATAAACAAAACGATTAATGCTTTCGCGGATACGAGCGATACCTACATTAAGAGCAAGCCTAAAAGTCTGGGAAATACGAGACGATTAAGTATCTGGTAGGGAGGGTGAAACGTAACAGAGGGGCATTACATGGAGGATGAAAGTACGGAGTTCGGACAAAAGCTTTGAAAGCTTGTTGACCCTGGGTTTTACCTTTCGTAAAATTCGAGGCGAAAATTGAACGGAAACAAAGTTAAAGCGGAACGGGCTGCAGTATATAAAGAAGGAGAAAAAGAAGGGACGCGACTTACAAGGACTTGTGACCGACGCTACTTCTTCCGTTATTGAGTATCACAGGTCGTCCTGGAGCTGCTGCGTCTTCTTCCCACAGGGATCTCTTTCTTCTGGAGGATTGCCTTGACAAACGCCATCCCTTTGGAATTCTCGGTGGACTGAAAAGGTACGGAATAACAAAAAGCTCTTTCAGATATAAACTTACTGGGAAATCGCGATCGACTTTTCAATACAAACTTAAATTGATGAATAAAATTAATGCGTTCTCTTTTAAAATAGTCGTCGCGCATAAATATTAAATAAAAAGTCTCGAATTTTCAAGGACTTTGTTCTATCTGATGGCATAAAGCCTGAGAAAATTTGTCTACCTTGAACTCAAACACTCTTTTTGCGCTGAGGCATTGACGGCTGTGTTGGGACGTTTGACGGGATTGTTGAGTGAATTTTTACTATTGTTTTCCACTGGTTTCAAATAACCAGAATAAACGCTGCACTGACTCTGCAAGAGAAAAAAAAAGAAAGTGTGCAATTTTTGCATCGACTATACGTAAGCATAAACGTTACTGCAGCTGTAGGTGAGCTGCAGATCCAACGAAAGCAACTCGAGAAAATAACTTACGGACGATCGGTCGATAGACTCTATGGATAAAGCTGGTGGGTAGGCGGCTCGAAAGCTTAGATCTCGATAGGCATGTGTGTCCAATGTGGTGTTTGGTGAATCTTGCGGCGTCGCGGCCGTGTGCGTTATGATCGGTGGCTGAGGCCCTCCGACGCTGTTCTTCTTGCCCACGACTATTTCCTTCGTGAGATTGCACTTGGCCACGTCGAAGGGCGGCTGAGCTCGCCAAGCTTGCTGAACCATGGCGTATTTCTCGTGACACTGATGATTATGGCCCTTGTATTTGTGCACGTTTTCGCAGCTTTGCCAGGAGTTCTTTTGATCCTTGCAAAAAGTTTGCGTTAAGGGAAGTCGTTTCGTCAACAGAGAAAATTATATGGGCTGGATGTAGGACATCCGAGGTGAGAGTTGAATAAACTTTCGACGGCTGCTGCTGGAGAAGGAGGAGGAGGAGGCGGGAGCGGAAGGTTTTTTCATACCTGTGTGTACGTGTCGCTATCTGAAACCGAGTGAGATCGCGACACTCTTGAAGATCCCTCTTCACTGCCGTAGCCGGCCTCCTTTGCCGCGATCCTGGCCAATTCACGCTGCTCTCGTTCGCGCCTCTCGTTTCTCTGCAAAATCGCGTTAATATGTTACTTTTGCTCCTTTTTTTGAAATCCGATACGAAAATTTGCTAGAACTATATCGTCATTCGATACTGCATGTTTACCTCGGAAGAAAAACCTTCGACCAAGATAGCGACGAGCAAATTGAAGAGAACGTAGTTCCCAAACGTCATTAGAGCGACGAAATACAGAGCCGCCCAATGCGACGTTTTCTGCATTCCATTGAATAAGACAACGTTCCAATCTTCCTGCGTTAATATCTACACGGAGATGGAAAGTGAAAATGTCTCACAATTAGCATGATGTACTAAAATTTTTTTAACCCATTAATGACTAAATGATTGAATTTTTTATCATTGCTTCAAAGGGAAACATTTTTACACATTATTGAGTCATAAATCTAATTTTAAAAGTTTTTGATCTTCTCTCAGACAGAAAACGCGGCAATATCTGAAGTTTAACCATTAAGAAAAAATCCTGTTACGCTTTTCAAAACTTATAGTTCAGGTTGCAAGAAGCTAATTTTGTTACAGCGATTTGAAAAGTATTGTTCAATATTTTTACAACACAATTAAATTGTTTTGCTACTACGAACATTTTTGGCTACCAAAATAAAAAACTTTTTCTTTGATTTTAGTAGAAATTTAGATTTTTATTTTTTTAAGCCAATAGTTTCGTTGGACCTACAACATTCTTATTTGTGATGAAAAATCGTGATAAAATAAATTCTGAAAAATGTTACCTTTCAAGTAGAAATAAAAAATCAATCGTTTTGGTCGTCAATGAGTTAAAAAAGCTCGATTTATCTTGAACATTTTCGACTCTTTCTCAATTTTGAATTTATATTGTAATTTATATGTTTTTTTTTCAATTGTTAACTTACATGCCTTAAGATAAATTGAACTTTTGCAACTAAGTAAGCGCATATAGTCCTCGAAGAGAATGAGATAGAAAGATAAAAAGTTTCTTTTTTTATTATATATCAATGATGACCGTGGTCCGTAATACTATATTTCTTTGAACTGCATTCTAAGATATTGATTATATTTGGTATAAATGCTACGTTTCAAGCGGTGTATAATATTTATGTATAATACAAAAGGTTATATTCAGTAAAAATCGGTTAGTAAAAATATAAGCACACGATGAAGCGTTTATTTACAAAGCCAAAAAATCATGATAAAATCTGTATATAAAATGGATCTATTCATACTAATAATAAGGGCATAGTTTGTAAATTTATATATGTATGTATACATATATACGCTTATAATCAATAATATCAGCAAGTGGATTTCGTGTTATTTGGATCCAGTGACAAAAAGGAGAATAATACAACAAAAAATGAGCAAAAAACTGTAGATACGTCACATACACGAAAATCCTTTTGTGACGAATCCTAACAGGGGGGAAAAACGACAAAGCCCGCTGTATGAATAAAGTTGTTACAACAGAGCACTGAATTAAAGCGATGTTTTACGCGTCCATGTATAGGTATGCGTACCACCGAATTGTATATATAGCGGACAAAAAACGCGCGTTACAAATAAATATCTGAATTCCTGCGGGAGCCTGTCGAAGTCGAGATATATGTATAGGATTTTTATTGTAAACGAGAATATGGACATTGTTTACTTTTACTTTTGCTATTATAATAACAAAGAACCAAAAGTCATTAATAAATGAGATTTAATTTTTCAACAAATTTCGATTTTTTACAAGTCCATAATCTCAAATTATATAGACTCCATAGATAGGAATTGTCTGAAGGAATAAATAGGACAGTGTGTCCAGAGTTGAGAGTGAAAATAGTATCATAAAGAAACGTAGATGATATTTCATTAGCATATCACGTGCGATAGAATAAGAACAAAAGAAGGAAAAGTTGAGACAGAAAGAAGCAGAGCTTGAAGAATATAGTCAGATAATTGAGTTATAATAGTTTAAGTATTAGTTATTATAAATGAGAGAAACAAAAAAGGGAACGGTGGTACCTGAAAGACGGTTACAAGTGCCCAGACGATGTCGTTGAAATGTTTGCGATCGCAGCGACACAAAGGGTGGCGCGATACCACCTCGGCACAGGTGCAGGGCCGACTCCGGTCTGCCCATACGCAAAACTTACCCCCAAACAGGTACATGCCTAGGATACTGCAACCGAGATACAATAACCCCCAGAACCTAAAGTACACAACTGTTTTCTGGACGCAATGCTTATAATACTTTCACGAATGGGAAATTGTGACTGGCGGAAGTTTTTTGGGTACGTCAAATTTTGTGAATTTCTTTAGGGCCCGTCCATGGATTTTGCTTTGGCGAATCACAGGTAGTACGTAGCTCGAGACTGGTGAGTACGAAACCGAACAAAACATTTTTGCAACTTCCGAACTATACATTTGGAACGAATGAGTAATCCATCATTTATAAACATATAAAAACTTCAAGAAAGTCGTATACATAACTAAAATGTGTGTTTAAATTATAATTATTTTGCTAATGGTAATCTTTATAAAATTAATCATTTTAACAGTGGAAGGGAATAAATAAAATTAGACTTATCACAATAACGAATATTGTATCCGTAAATAAAGCATGTTTTTTGAAACAAAATATTAGGAAAAACAAAAAACTTACTACTTAAGGTACTAATTTCAAATCCACATTGAGAATCCAAAAAGTATTTTCAAATCGAAAAATGGATATGTTTATTCATATGTACAAGACATTCCTGATTGGTTTTTTTTTTTGGTTTTTTAAGGTAAAAACTTCTCTACTCAATCAAGAATGTAATCGTTGCTGAGAATGAGAATTCGATATTATTTCTTGCCTTACATAATAAAGTTATTGTGTAATTCGGACAAAATCGATGGGCGAACCCCGTAAGCAGTAACTCAAGCAATAAGTATCTATGTAAAATAGCGATATTTGACGTTATACATAAGCTCCAATACATTCTGCGTATAAAATGACATATATATTTATAAATATATATACCAATGTGAAGATAATAATATATGAAGTGAACAAAAAGGTGTATTGATGACACATTGAATTTTGGACTAGCGAAGATAATGAGAGAATAATTTACAAGTGGATTTTTGGCGATTTTTAGATTTATGATTGTTGTGTTCATTTCTAATTGTCATTATTTTTGGAAATCTACCTATAATATTTCTGGAAAATTATAATTTACTGAATTCTTCATTTAGAATGATTTATTAAAATTTAATATTCAATTTTAAAAATAAATGTATTAAAAATTTGATCTCTGCATTGGTAAATGAACCATCAATTTTTTTGTTTGAATGCGAAAGAGTAAATAGGTGATGAATCAGAAAAAATGATAAAGTTTATTAAAAAAAAAATAGTATTTGAAATTCATTTTTCTCGAAATGAGGGAATAGAATATTTAAACTACATGTCGACTTTTGACTATAAAATATCAGTTCTTGGATGGTTTAATTTTCTATCATCATGCGACAAAAGTCAATCGTTTCATCATTTTTTAAAACGTCTATGAACAATCTATGAATTTTTCGGGGTCACAAACCAATATATCCTGACGTACTTCGAGTTTATATATCTATTTAACTAAATTAACTATCTTGAATTGGAAAATTTATGCGTGAAAAAGACATGGATTATGATTTTAAACCATGTTAAAGAATAGTAAATCTGCTCATACTTAGTTTCACAAGTATAGAAAGTTTAAGATTTGTTAAATTTACATGTTCAACTTTGATTTAGAAGTCAAATTCATTGTTTTGTTAATTATTGGTTCATTATATAATTGTTAGCTGTTCAGTTGTGTTTTGTTATTGGCGTTTGTTCGTCATAGTTCGCACCACTGAGAAACTAATTAGATACAAGATGATGTACTTGTAAATTTGAAGTTTAAATTAATTTATTAAATTTTTACAATTTAAAAATCTAATTTTACTCAGTGTACAAACTTGTTAATTTTAGTGTTATTATTTTATGAACGAACGTGGTGGTTGCTAAACCTAAGGACTCAAATATGCAGACACACAATAACATGCAAAGCAAAACGTTATGATGACTTTAGGTGATAGTGTCAACTTTGTACTATTCGTCAATTAGCAGATAGTGTCTCATACGAATCAATTTTTTTAGTCTGAAATTCTCAATTCTCCCAATGAACTCCCACTGCACTATTTTTTTGAAGCTAAATTCAGCAAATTTTTTGTTTATTGTTTTGTGTAGTTTTAAAAGTTCAATGTATGCTATTGAAACAGCCGAGGCAATGCCACAGTCAAGTGAAAATAACATTTATTTAAGCAGCGTCATTTTCAAAATAGCAGATAAGCGAGTAGCATAGAAAAGTACCACCTTTCACGCTACCAAAACCAAAAGTCTTTTATTTTTCTATCACAGCGTAAAGGAGATAGCTCATCAAATACTCTTCAGTTATTTTATATAAACTTTGCTACACAAAAACACACATAAACGGCAGCTATGTTTTCTTATGCTATGAAAACTTGTCTAAAATGCAAGACACCGTCGAAAAGCGAACAACAGTATAAGAAAAAATTTGGCAAATGGTCACACTTTATTCAATACAAATGTTTTAACCAAATTGTTTTTTATCTGTTGTTCAATTCTCATAAGAATATGGAATTATCCCAAAAAACCGTCTATAAATTGAGAAGAGATTACATTTTTCAAGTCAATAAATAATGCGTAGCACACGAATCATCTTTTGTACAATAATTATTAACTTCATGCTATTAAAATATTTAATTATAATGCAGCTTCTGGATTGTAATATTGTTCTACTAACATAAGTATAATAGAAAAATAGTCGAAAGTTTAAGCATGGCATGATTATTTTTATTGTTTTTAAAAATTTAACTAGTTTTATTCTCCTTTTTTCTTTCTTTCTCATTCGATTTCTTGTCAGCGAACAAGAATCGACTCAAAGACTTATACGTTACCTTAGCTATGTAGATAGAGGGAAATTAAAAAATACAATTAACAAAAGTTAATCTTTCATCGAAAGTATGAATGAGCTTTGTATGAATTGAATCTTTGTTACGAATTTCTTTGAAAAAAACTCTCATAATTCGATTAATAAAATGCTTAAAAAATGTTCTTTTTCATACAGCCCATATTATACTGTTTCAATTAAAAAACATCATCAATTCGTCATGTTAGTAACTTTTGTTGAAATAATTTGCCTTTAAGTACCTGAAACACCGTCACTATAGCCCAGAGCAATGAGTCAAAGTTTTTTCTATCACACTCTTTGACGCCATTCACCATTTCACAGAATTTGCAACCGAACAGGTTCATTCCGAGTATACTACAACATAATGAAACTTGCAATGTATATTCAATCCAAAAATAAGTCGCGAATTTATTTATCCCACTGTCATCTTAGGATTCTTAAACAATTTTATAATTATCTAATTATTTTATGAATCAAATATTGTCACTTTATCTCTTTAGTCTAGTTATCGTAATATAAATATCAAATTTATTTTAAGTTAGTTGGATTTTATGCCTCGAGAATACTTTTCTCTGCGTTCAAAAGAACTTTATCTTTTGCATTGAAAGAGCTACAAGGTCACAGTATAGTGATTACATTTTATTTGTGCAATGCAGAAAATACTGCGAAAGTTGAATGACAAAGGTGTCATCAAGATGTTTGAATCCAAAGAAAAGAGAAACTATTCTAGGATATTTCAGTTTTAAGTACAATTAAGAGCAGAAGAATTAGAAAAAGCTCTATGTAGGAATTAATAAAAATTATCTTCGATTGAAATGGAAATTGCTGCAACATAATTGATTGAGAGATTAAAATATTAAAAATTCGAAATTCAAGTAGAATGAGATAAATTTTCATTTGAAAATAAACTGCCAAATAATTGTTAAAAAAATTGGGTGCAATATAATTTATACTTTTAACTTTTAAAAAACTCTTAGTTGAAAGTGCAGTTCTAAAGGTTATTATACAATCGAAAATAAAACCCGAAATTTAAGTATCCTTATTTCATTTTCAATAATAAATTTTGACATGTATTTAATCGCGGTGGCATTTAAATAATTTATTTAGTTTTTAATTTTAATTACCATACAATTGCGCACACAAAAAGCCAAAAACGATTTTAATGTACTGTATACTACTGTCCCAATGAACTCAGCCAAAATAAAAAGCTGGCACCAATAATTTTCTGTGCATTTTATAATCGATCTCCGTTGAAGGAAATAATATAAATTACGGAAATTATCTGAGGTAGAGTAATAATTAATAATGATGTTAAATGATGTTAAACAGAATTGTAGCCTTAAAGTTGTATCAACACCAGGTTTTTATAACAGAATAGTCACTAAACAACTTTGGCAGATAAGAGAAGCACCATGCATACACTTACACATATCTAATAGATAATATTATTTTTAGTCGTACAACTTTCAGCCGATATATGCTTCCAATATTCTTAAACACAGAGAAAATGCGTCATTCGATCAAAGACGCACTTTCTCGTTGAACCATTTTTTTACTTCGAACGTGCCAACAACAACTACATAATCCATACTAAAATACGTTTAAGAAGCAAACGCTGCGATATCTTGTTTTTTTTTAAGTAAGAAGAATTATCAACTTATTTTAGTCAAGCTGCAATTTCTCGCAATATTTTTATCGTTTTTTTTTTTCATCATTTTTATCCGTGTAACATAGGTTAAGCCTAAGTGTATAAATACATTTTTTTTCACCAAATACAATAATAGTGAAACATCAGGAGCAGTACTTGAAATAAAAGTTTTATAATATAAATGCGTGATAAAGAAATGACAATGAGATTATAAAAGAAGCTTCATGAGCGATGGAACTTTTAAAAGTATTAAGTTCGGTCAAAGTTTTCCGAACATTAAATCGTGGTACAGTTATTATGAGGCATCGTTACAAAGGCAAAACCATATTTTTTGCTATTGTTTTCATTTTCTTAAGTAATGCCTATAGTATAAAGTTGTCTTTAATCGACATCTTTTCCATGTAACGCAAATCCTATTAAAGTGATTTTAGAGTACGGAGCTGTTATTTTTTTCTCATTTGGAAAACATGAAAAATGTATGCTTATTAAAGACTTGATATCATTATGGCATAGAAATTTATCTGACGCATAAAAAATTCAGAAAAGAAAAGACTTACCTGAATATGAAGATGAATAAGACTAAAAGGGAAAAAAAAACTGCAACGTTATCCATTGTGCGCAGCATGACGAACAGTTGCCTACGAAGATTTGGCATAAAACGCACGAGTTTCAATATCCTTAACAAGCGAAAAGTCCTTAGTACGCTCAGGCCCGAGCTTCCTCCCTTTTCTTCTCCGAAAGATTGGCATAATTCAACGACACTAGTACACACACGCACACGAGAAATCTTGGTTAAATTTTGTTTTTTATCTCCTTGTAAATCGATGAAAAGCTAATATTACCTTAAAACAACAACTACGCCATCGAAGACATTGAATCCATTGCTGATATAACCAAAGGGCCCTTCCGCTATAACCTTCAATAACATTTCGACGGCAAAGATAGCGGAAAAGACGATATTGCTTATCTCGACTATGAACGTCAGCTCATCCGGCTAACAATAGAAAAGGTTCAATACAGCTTTAAAATGGTAGGTACATTGCGCTAACCGTGTCATATTATATACTTGAGCATAAAAATTCTATTCTACTACTTTTTTATTATTTTTCAATTCTCTGCTGGTTTATACTATTTCTCGTAGAGCAAAGATAACATACCTGATTATGATATTCGATTCCCATGCTGAGTGTATTGATGAGTATCGCCAGCAGTATACCCTGCTGGAAGTACTTGTGATTAACCAGTTTCTTCGTCCAGCGACGCAAACAACAACAAGTGCAAACGAAAATATTGCCACTGGCCACCAAGAAGCGACGGAACTTGGACTGCTTCCATCTGAGACATCGCTGACTCGTTTCGGCGGCCGTTTCGTCCTCCTCCGGCCACTGCGGGTCGTTTTGCATGTCGCAACAACACGAGCACGCGTCGGCTTCCGCAGCCGCCGTCCATTGCGATCGCTCCTCTAGGGTAACGTGCCGCTCGCTCATACCTGAATTATTGTCGATAGCGTATTTTTTTTTTTTTTTTTTTTTTATATCAAAACGCGTAAAAGCGCGCTCTGCGGCCAACTTTTGCACGTTCGAATTGCAGCCTCGATTTACGAGCCTAGGCTCATTGTTCAACTTTGATATATCGAATTACGCGTCCATAATGACTAATGAGCATCGAGATTGTGTAGAAATGCGGAGAATCGAGCGAATACGTGACCTATTGAGAGCTTTGCAATGTACAAGCGAGGCTGCAATTCATAAGACGAGCGAATGCCGAAGCTGTACCTTTGGTGAGTGAATTCAAAAAGGTATCCAGGGCCACTTGACCAGTTGGCAAAGCGGCACTCAGGGCTCCGCTGAAAGCTAGTAATTCTTGACACGTCATGGCCTCGCCGCCGCCAATTTCAGCCTGTGAAATGCCAAAGTCCTGGCGATAAATCTCGAGATTTTCACCTCATTAACTCGTGCACGTTAATGGATCAGACGTTTTCATTAGAATAGCTATAATTTGGAAATCAGCGCGACAGTTACGAGCGTGAAGACGAAAAGGAAGAAGTAGGTTGCAGACGTCCACTCAAATTTTTGCGTTTAATTAATCAATTTTACAAGGAATTCTGATGACTTTTTTGTAAGCAGTGCAATAGTTTTTATTATTCGACAAATAAAGCAATGGATTTTCGTATGCGTAAAAAAATCAAATTATTTGCACGTCTTTTACATTTCTCTAAAGGATGTGAAATAAACTTATGACTTACTCTAAAAAAAATAACGTCAGTAAAATTATTTTTCAGAAAATAGAAAAAAATTAATTTAATTAAGAAGCTTTTAAATTTTTCTCGCGGGAAAAAATTAAAATGTCTTAAAAAAACATTAATTGAAATATCAAAAGATAAATCAAACAGCAGCTACTCTTTGATGTAAAACAGTTAATCGAAAAAGTAGAGAAAAAATCGAAAAAGTTCATATGAATGAATGAAGAAAAAAACGACGACAAATACAGTCTGACATGCATGATTATTTACAGAGTATAAAAAAGAAAAAAAAAACACGATCACATAACACATAAAAAATGAATGTGTAAAAAAAGTGTTGATGATATCTTGACATACTTGAATGTTATTCGGTTGTGACGTCATTGCCCAAACATTGCCATCGCCGGTTTGGGTCATTTTCTCGCTGGAGCAAATGTTTCGCTCGCCCGTTACGGTTCCGATCGATCCGGGCAACGTGTTAACGCTGCTTCCATGAAGCAGTATGACTTCGCTGAACATTACGCTACTACGTCGACGCTGCGGTGCGCTTGGCGGACTCAAAAGCGCATTGTTCGTCTGTTCGATACGAGATAAATAAGCTTGCGTTTTCATTGATGCACTTTAAAAAGTTGGCCTTTTTTACAATAGTAATTCTAAGCTCGCTCGTAAATGGATAGATCTAGGGCTTAAGTGAAATGGGCGCTTGGTACGTAACGCATTAATCACGCGAACAACTGCAAAACTAGCCTCGTTATTAAAAGTTAACACGAAAATTTGAGTAGATGAATAACTATTGTGGCTATGTAGAGAGAAAAAATTTATTAGTACACAGAGTCAAGCAAAGAAGAGATTAAAAGTTGAAAGTTTGTTAAAAAAATTAGATTCACTAACGAACGCAATGTATATAGATTACATTTTTCAGTGCACGTGCAGACACTTTTTTTTATTATGCATGCCTTATACTATGTGTATGCCATATAGTAGCGCTTGGAAGCCACATCCGGCATTTTTCGATCAAAATTTTCAACTTCTCAACTAGGGCAAAGTGTCGATCAGCATAAAAAGACTGATACTTACAATAATGCCAAATACTGTAATCGATACTATTAGTCAAACTTTAGCACACACATACTGCACATATACATAGCTGAGAGAGAATTTCGCGCACGCGATCTAAGATAGGGATAAAAGAAAAATCGGGGAAAAAATCGAGTTTCGACGTTACCTCGTTGAGGACGTTAATGTTGTTATCGCTGCCATTCGATAGGGATGTATGCCTGTGCTGCTGCTGCTGATGATGATGATGATGATGGTTATGATTGTTAATGGGGAGCTCGACCTCTGAAACTTCGGGACTAGCCCTGGGGGCGCTGCCCACAGGACTTACAACGATAGTGCCGCTACCCCCGCTCGGATCCGCCAGGTCAGTGGCAGAGGCAGCAGTGCCGTTGTTATTGTTGTTGTTATTGATATTGTTGTTATTGTTGGCCATGCCATTGGACTGGTGAAGCTGCTCTGCCTCTCGAGCGGCCAACAGTCGAGGACAGCGACTGTGGTGGAGCTTACCATCTGAAAAAATCGAGTGACGTCCTCATTCCCAGTGTTCACGACAGTTCCGGCCAAGCCTCTTGTGCCATTCGTCTTATACTTGCCTAGCAGTCTTGTGGACTTGACAATTTTTCTGCGCGACTGGCTAGGATCACGCAGTAAATTTTGATCGCGCTGGTGGCGCCTGCTGATCATAAATAGCCGATATTTCTTCAGCAATCTTCTTTTGCCCCGTCTCCACAGATGAGCTATATATCTGTAGGTACAGACGCGAGAGTGAATTACTAAATTTGCTTTCAAGTATGCCCTCTACATTTCTTTTAATGGTATAATCGAAAAATACTTTTTTTTGGTCTTTATTCTCGTCTCATTTTAGAATAAATGCAATTTATTTTGAAAAATCACTTTTTTGAAATGATGCTATCCTTACACATGTACAGATATTTTTTAGGGACTCAATCTAGTTTAAAAATATGTAAACAAAATTATTCTTCGACATCTAGTTGGGAAACTGGTTTTGAGTCTACAACAGAGGCCCTCTCTAGGATGAAGCAATTCTCATTTCTCGTTTAATCTTTTAATGGCATTTTGAGTCAGAAGCGCTAGATTTATTTTGACAATAATCTTGCCTAAATTGCATCAATTATTAAGCAATTAATTTAAATAGCAGCATTCGGAAGCAGCCTCAGAAAGTTGTGTTAAGCTCTGGAGCAACCTTGAACAAGTGGGGTAGCGGAGGGTCGAGGAATTTTACGGAAATGACCCAAAGTCGTAAAAAAGCCTGAAATGTTTCCATCTTTTTCATTTACAACGCTCGTTGGAACGTATTTTACAAAACTTCAAAGTTTTACTTTATGAGCTTGCAAAAAAAGAGCTTCAAACTAAGCTCTCGGTACGTGTCATGTATAGCTATAGTATAATATAGGTTTTACGTGTTGGGCGAAAAAAAATGCGAGATAGATTTTGATATTGCGATATCACTTACTTGACTATTTCAGCGTAACAAGAGGTTGGCTCCGACGTATTTGTCGAGGAAGCGAGAGTACTGGTTGAATGAAATCGAGCCCGCTCTAATCGCATTCTCTCCATTTCTCGCTTCTTCGTCTCTGAGAATTGAGTCGCTATTACAACTAGGCAAAGGTTAATCATGAAAAAGGAACCGATCTGAAAAGAAACAGAATAAAGGTAAAAGATGTTTTCTCATTTTCATCTGTCTGATATTTTTTCAAGCTTTTTTCTTTTTATTTCCTTTCTTTGCGGTTCAAGAGAGAGAACGGCAACTCTTTTTTTCTCTCTCTACCGTTTGAACGGCTTATAAAACTTTCTCTCTAAGTGCTTTTATTGAATGTTCTATGTAAAAAATTTAAAAGCTCTGCTTATTTTTTTCGTGCAAATAACTTGTCCTTTGTATTATTCTCTACCTTCCACATGTATAATTAGAAAATTTTATAATTGTACCAAGTTAAAATGTCGCGATGTTTAACGTGCATGACACATACATTTTGGAAGAAAATCGTGTATTGCCTTCAAGATTTCGTTTAACTTGTCTTATGAAGTTTTGCTACATAAAAGAGGCACTACACATAATGTCGCGTACATATGGTTATTGTAACTGCAAGTAACGTTGAGTCCTTGTCACAAAACTCGAGTAACTCGTCGTTAAAATGTCCCAGTTTTAGCTAACACGATTTTTTTAGTTTTATTGTTCACCAGTTGATGTGAAGGAATATTTTTTTACGTTTTAAATAATACCTAAGTAGGTTATAATTTAATAAATCATTCCAAATGAATTCAGCTGTAGTTATACTATCATATTACTTGGATTATTCGAAATATTAATTATCACAATATATTCAGTTGCAAACGATAAATATTCATGGTCCAAAATCTATTAACTGAGAATATTCGACATCGAGATATACGCGCACATATGGATAAAGTCAAATGGACAAGAGATATTCTGAGTGCATCTCTTTGATAAAGAAAATATGATCCGTGCAAATTCACGAACAAAATAACGTATGATTAACATAGGCTCTGTTTTAACATTGGCTATACTCACAACAATCAGAAGAACAAAATAAATCCAGTCCCAAAACGAGTGCGCGTCCTGCACGTAGTACATGATATCCGTCCAGCCCTCCAAGCTTATTACCTGTCGAAAGGAAAAGAACATACATTCTTTTTCAGACATGAACGTTGAAAAAATTTTTTCATTCAATAAGCAAAAATAAAAACACGATGCATGAAGCAGAAGGGCGGAAATAATTATTCTTAACCTTGGGCATGTACATGTGTGCAGGTTCTCGTCACATTTGCACAAAAGTGACAAAGTGCCTAGTCAGCTAAAGCCTCTTAAAGGCTGACTTCGTACATTAAGTCTACCCACGATAGTAGTGGCTTTCGGCTAAAATAGCAACATCGATATTTTTGCGTCTGTATATACTTACAAGAAAAATAGCTACCCAGGCCAGGCCGATATTGTCAAATGATATGGTGCCCTGGAATGGATTGTTGCCTTGCCCCTTGCACTCGGTATAGTAAGCGTTCCAATTGACGCACGAGGTGGCGTTGAGAAACGTCAAGTTACTGTTCGGCAGTGCTGTTTCATTGCACTCGATGTTACCTGAGAAAAAAAGCCCGATAAAAAATGTTCAAAACAAATAATTTTGCCTCGCATGATGAAAGAAACTGCGCATAAGCTTCAACTTATATACTGAATTCCACCTCGCTTACGGCATATTTTATTATTACAAGATTCAAAGTACGCGTGGGAGTGCTCAAATTCTAACGTTTGTAATTACTTAGTTTGAAACCAACTTCACTACGTGCTGATTATTTTTTCTATCTAACGTAGAGCAGTTCAAATCATCCATTAAATATTAGTTTTGAATCGGTTTAGCATTTTCTATCGCAAGCAAAAAGTTACATTTTCCTTTGGTTTAAACAAGCGCAACGATTAGTTTGTTATTTAAAAAAATGTAATTTACTCTTTGAAATCAATAAAAAAAACTGGAACTTTGAGAATTCAAAATAAAATCGATACACAAATGGGTTGGGCAATATTGAAAAAAACGAACTGAGAATATGCTAGTGTAAATAAAAACTTGCCAATCTTGAGCCGTGGTAAATTACTGCAGCTATGCATCCCATTATCGTCCATCCTCGAGCAGATATAATCTTGGCCCTGGTACTCGAAGAATTTTTCCAGGTCACTGTAAATTTGCAAATTCGCGTTGTTCACGTTAATTGTACACAACTTTATGCGCGCAACATTGATTCTTTAATGTATATGGAAGTACAAGTGAAACTAAAGGGAAAACGACACAAGGCAACACTGCGAATATATATATGATATTTGTATAATATATATTGGTGATATTGTGATAAAAGCAATTATATTTCTTTTTTTTATTTGCATGCTGTGATGTATCGTATATGTGTTTTTTTATTTTATCGTATTAATATTATTTTGATACATCAATGCGCTGGTGAAAAGAGGTAATCAATATAAAACATCATATATTTTTGGTAGACGAACATTGCGATCTATGTTATGAACAAATATATAAATAAGAGACACTGAAAAAGATCATACATTTATGTATACTATTTATAAATTGAGAAAGAAAAGTGAATCTTTGGGATAGGACTTGTGATAACTAGTGGTGAGTCATAGCTATGGAGAGGCAAGATTCAGTATTTGCAATCACGATATACAGTAACGCATATTCGTTTGGTAATCATTTTGGGTACTTGGTGAATCGTACTTATATGCTATTATAGTGTTTGGTGCGTATTCTAGGCATACATTATCGATATCGCATACCCTAGTTCTCATCATAGCTCAACGTACTTTACGAAACAGTATATGGATATCAGTGATAGGGTTAAATTTATCGATGACTTTCCAAAGTCGTCAGTGCAGTTACGAGCTTATAAGCACCTGTGAATCGAACATTTTTTATTCGATTTTTGGAAAGAATTTTTCTTTCCTTTTCCATGGCATTTTTCGAAGCTTTGAAAAGTTGAGTTTTCACTAAGACACAGCACTTTCCGTGAGCCTTTCTCGTATACTTGGCGTGTTTTCATTTTTTCTTCTTTTGCGTTTACAAGCGAGTCGTGTTTTTGATCACTTGCGTACACTTCTTCAGAACATCAATGGTCACAAACGCAATCTCAGGCGAGATAATCCGACGACCCATAAGTCACCCTGCACAGACACTCGGGCGTCATTTATTTTTCATTTTACGTTATTTTTTGTAACGTTCACCATGAAAATACTGATCGAGAGCAACCTATGCGTCGGATCGTCTCGCCCAATCTTGTGTTTGTGACCATTGATCTTCTAAAGAAGTATACGCGATCCTCGTGCTGTAGCTCAAAGGGATCGCTCTGAATCTTGCACAAAGTGATAAAAAACACGACTCGTCAGTAAACGCAAAAGAAGAAAAAAATTAAAACCCGCAAAGGGCTGTATCTTAGTGAATATTCACCTTTTCAGAGTTTTAAAAATGCAATGTAAAGTGAAAGAAAAATCCTTTCTAAAAATCGAATAAAAAAATGTTCGATTTAAAGGTGCCTATAAGCTCTTAAGGTGTTGACACAATACTTTGCGGAGACGCGCGCGACAGAGAGAAAGAAAAAGAGCTGTGAAAGAAAGAGATGCTTTAATCCGTCGCGCCGACGATTTATGCGACTTTAAAAGCTGTTGAGAATCTCGAGTGTAGCGTCGCTCAATCAAGCGTTCACGCGTGCGAAACAAGCCAGGCGTGCAGCTCATAGTACGGATTCGCTTGGATGCCAATATATGTATGTGTGTTTGTGTGTACGAGTTACGTTTACTTATATCTATAGGGCGTCGCTTTTGAATGCGGCATACCGCAAGAAATTCGGATTGACTTTTCCACGGCGAGGGATTAAGTCAGAGTTGACTACGCGTGTAATGGCAACTCAAGCCAGCCGCTTATGCACGAGTTTTCGGAAACTTTGGCCGTTATTTTGTCTATATAGACAGAACGCGCGTGTGTATGGATTTGTGAGTGTATACGTGCGTGTCAACGTATATAAGCCACGCGTGCCGAAGAAAATGAGGTTTTGCTACAGCTTATACCCAGCGGACGAAACTTTGCTGCGTTGCTGTTGATGCTGCTGTGGCAGCAGCTGCGTGCGACAGATTATCGCGCTCGGCTATTAAAATGCATACGCCCGGCTTGCGCAGCTCCGACATTTTTTTGGATAAAAGTTCACTTTGCATTTCTTTCGTTTTACTTCAAGTCTCTCTCGCGCATACGTTCGCCTCTGCATGAAACTCATCTCTTTCTCTCGTGCATCAATTCTTATGATGATCTATCGATTATTTCGGTTTCTGCAAACACAGCTGTATTAGCGAGTCCTCGTGCTTGGACATTTTCTTTATTGCAGGGGACCGCTATCAGCTCGTTTCAATTTCGAAGGACTCCATTGACTTGATGTTTAAGCAGTCCGACTGAACATTATGCTTCGACAATGGAAAATCCCTAAAATGCGAGACGAGTCCGATAACGCAGCACTAATGAAGGGGGTGTAAGTACTCTATATATTTAATGGAAAGATCGCTTGACTCTCTAGATTAACCCATAAGCACTCGACGATCGTGGCTCGTTTGCTCGCTCGTTTCGCACGATCGCCTCATCATTACTTCTTATTTATGATTCTGTCTATAGTTAATTTTTCTCTTTCGGTTAAGAGATTTATCGCTGCTTCGATCGAGCTCGTACAGTTTTCGACCTTGTTCGGAAGCTATATGCAGCGCCCAAGAGAGCCTGTCAAAAGTTTGTCAAAATTTCCAACGAGTTAATAAGTTGGACGCGTTTTCTGCCTAATTTACTCTGCGATGGTTATACTTCATCGGTAATGACGCTAGCCTATTATGAAACTTCAATTGTGAATTATTTTAGTATATAATAGAGAAAATCAAGCCGTTTAGTAAAATTCAATCTGTTAACTGATGCGTACGCAAATCTGTAGTAGTGATACGGTTTCCTCTGGAATAATTTGCCGCTGCTATAAAGTACAAAAGTTATTCTTTTTAATCATAAGCCAAAAATTAAAGCGTTAAATATTCATCGAGCACTAGAGCCTAAATGTTTACCAGTGGCTGCAATTCAACTACACAAATTTCGATTCAAAGCGCCGCTTTCGGCTCGTGTTCTCAGAGTCAATCAATAATATACCACTGTTATCCTGAGTTTGCGAATGTAAATAATCGATCGTGTAATTTGTAAAACAAGTGCTCTAATTTCACATAAATCCTGTTGGGATTTACATAGAGGCAGTTTTGCGAATACAGGTGCAAATCGATACGTCCATAACACTAGTTGATATTTTTTCTATTGTGACAACAGGCGTACAACACACAACACATAGTCTCACGCACAGCCAGGTATCCGTACTTAATGTCAGTAGACCTAATCCAATATCCCAAATTGCACATGGTAAACATTACTTGTATGCATGATTAATTTGTGCTTTGGCATTCCAAAAGTCAGGCTTGTGCTCGGTGTATGCTATATCGTGCGACCTTTTACCGCCTTGATCGTCGCTAATGGTCGCACATTGATATTTTAACTTTATCATAAATTATACTTCTTGAATCGCACACATGAAATTAATGCTAATTATACTATATGCGGATGTATTTACATTTTCTCTTTCACTATTCTATAAGATCAATATCCCATATTTTTCGTGATAATCCAACATGGGAGTGTGCTTACATATATACATATCACGGGTATGTCGATTTGAACGTCTGATACGGAATTTTCTGCCTTTCGTTGTATACATGAAATATCTAATACAGTAATACCGTGTAATTAATTTTTTTTTTAAATAAGCTAGATACTCTGACACTATTACTGTAAAAATATTTTTGGAAAATATGAATGCAGCAATGACGAAAACGTTGTCATGAAAAATCACCATATTCAATGACCAAGAACAATTCTACTGGTGAATCGTGGCCGTATCAGAGGAAAATATGTGCTCCATTGGCAAAGTGTTTATTCACGATAACTCGCGTCGATTGATGGTGATTTCGCCCGTCAGCCGGAGGCGCCTAGTACACGCCAAGTGCACTCGCATGGCAAATATAATTCCGAGGGGGTGGCGGACAAAAAAAGGAAAACCCGAGCCTGCAGCGCACTCGTAAAAATGTCAAGAGTCAGAAGCATATCGAGGAGGGGGACAGCGGGGAGAGAAAATATTAATCCGATTTTGTGCGACTGCAGAGACGACAATGGAGAAAATTTCGCCCCGATATGTACCTTGGATTTCTGGAAATACTGAAAAATTCATCTTGTGTACTTTCGCGTAGAGCTCGCGCTGGCGCGTGCGTGTACAACGCGGAACAAAATGTCGACGTATGCGTCATCGGTGCGTTTGTATACACATATACACAAGCCGCAGAGATGTTCGATGTAGGTAAATATATAGTGATAACTGCGCAAGTTCTAGTTTTCCGCAGCGCTGGCGATACATATATGTGTAAAGTATTTTCCACCAAACCAAGCGAGAGAGCTGCGAGTATCGAATGATTGAAAATTCTGTAGAGTACCGATCCGATAGAAACCGCCAGAGGATTACGGTTTTATACGTAGCGCGTGTACGTATATCGACGCGCACATTGCTGTATTAGTTGCTTATATATACATTATATACACAACTCGTGTACGCAGTGATTCCGTGCATGAAAAATAAGCACAATGGACCTTCGATCTTATTTCATTTTATTGATTTCTTTCTTCCTTTTCATACGCTTGATCTAGTTTTTACAGACATTTTGAGACTGCAATAAAAAATTACGCTCGATTGAGCTGAAGACGTTTTTTTGTTGTCACTCGACGTTATTCAATATATTAATCGTCTTCGTAATATTCGATGTGCATTAATCTTTCGATTTAATGTGATCTTTTGTCAATGAAACACAATGGTAACTGAATGCGCACTCTTTTTTCGATTCTATTTGAACACTTTTACCGTCGTCTCGTGCGTAGCTCGTATCGTAAAAAAATGAAAATAAAAAAAAAGGATTCGTCAGAAGTGCGGACATGAGAAAAAAAATCCTTAAGTGCTTTCATTCAGTGAAGTGAAAGAAACGACGAAATATACGTGTATATAGAGAAATAGAGAACGAAGGGGAAAGATTCGTACAGAGAGAAGAAAAGTAGTGTGATGAAGTAATACTCGTTACAATATATATCAATGTACATACTCGACTCTAACAAGTATATATCAACGTACATGGAGCATGACGTACATTCGTTTAATTACATATTGTCATTTTTATCGCAAACATTGATTCATGCATTGAAGTACATACGTACAAAGAGTGTGTACGTAGGTGATAAAGAAGAAGTTCAGGATTGGAAATTCAAATTGAAAATTTTAAGAGTTTAAATCAATTTTCATTTTATGATAGAAATTGTCATAGTGAGAAGAATCAGTTCATCGTAATAGTGCTAAAAAATAAGTTGCTCATCGCATTGAAACGCGATGTGGATTGTAACTATGTTTAACACTTAAAATAGTGAGATTTTATTGTGGTTTAATATTACATTATAATTGTGATATAGTAGTACATCTAAAGATTGAAAGACAAAAATTGCCGCATAGATCAGAGTTCAGAGCACGACATAACATGACGTATACACATGTACACAATAAACAGGTCAGATATTGCATGCTCTACTATTATACGTATTATAATATTTATTTTTGCAAGTATAAATCCGGTCTAAAACAGTGTTGGGTTTCAAGATACGCTTTGTTTAGAAATTATTGCGAAGCGAAGGCTTGTTCGATATGCATATATCCAAGTAAAATTCGCAGCTTATCCTCGATCTCTTCATTGCAGCCTCGTCATTGATATTGCTCATTTAATCAGTAATTAGTTTACACTGGAACATCTGCTACTGTTTCTGTCATTCACTTTGATTCTTGTGGTTGTTATCTATTACATTATCCAGGCTGGGGATGGAGATTGTTCGCGTGGGGGGGATAGAGGTCAACCGTTTCAGTAGTACGAGTCAACGTTAGACCGACCACGTGATCATTATTTTCGGATTGTCAGTGACCGAAGTGTTATTAGCAGTTATAAAGATAAACAATTACCACATCGGACAATTTTTAATTTACTTAAGATAAAAGTTATTTCAGAACTAGCGAATGCAATGCTATAAAATCTCGCTAGAGTTTGCGAGAAGAAGTTATTACTGACAGGAAGAAGATGGAAAGCATAAAATTGAAAATTGATGAAAGTTTAGTTGTGAAGGAAGCGAATCGGAGCATGGAAGCGAGCGTCAAAGGATAAAGTTAATACCACGAGGATTTGACAAGGCGAATCATCGTCAAAAGGTTTTGCGCAAAAGCGAAAGACAAGCTAAGGTATTTAAAAAATTAAGATGTACCGATGACGATGATGGCAAGACGTTTGGTTGTATAATTCAAGTCACGCGAAAAGCCAAGAGCTAATTTTACACTAAAGCAACCGTCCGCGTTTCATATGATACACGTACACTCCATGAGCATATGCGCACACATAATAACATGTTCAGCATGTATACTATACTCCACAATAGATGTGTAATACACTTGTATACAAGCTGAACTTGGTCTAGTGATAATGCACACAAGACAGGGTAGCGCATACATATATTGCAAACGTTTACCTCGCTTATTATATACGTGCATACGTGTGCGAAAGTGTGCACATACACACATGGGTCAAGTATGCACACGTGCACACATTTGTCAAAAGCAAAAGTAAGTACTTTGGCATAGCACAGCCCCAGTAAGCACAGAAAATATGGAAATCATTTACGAGTATGTAAATGTGTCTTGTTGAATACTAGAATGCCCTCTTACAGATATTTATATGTATATTATACGTACTAATAGTGAATGTTATACAAAAGCAAGAAGCAAAGTGGATGCAGTATTTGTTTTTTGTTTATTTTTTTGCGATATTTTTCAATCGCTTATTTACAATGAATAGCAGTAGCAGCATCCGAAGCGAATGAGAGGTAAGCTTTTTTTACTTGTTAGGCAATTGCCAATTGCAAACGAGATACGAAACATGGGCAGAAAAATGATTTTGATCATTTGCAGAACAGATTGTCAAGCGTTGAAAATAAAGTTATTTGAGTGATTAAAAACTTTCTCTTGTCAATGGAAAAAAAAGTTTGTTTCAAAGTAACAAGCTGATTAAATATGTAATATGATAGATGTTAACATGATATAAGTCAAGAGTAAGATCAACAGATTACAAGTGATCGAAAGTAAAACATGATGGTAATGCAGAATGAACCATACTAACATTAGTTTCTTGTAAAATTTGTTACGTCTACCTCCGTAAATATAAACTACTACGTTATAAAATTTTTGACGATTTTCATTTCGTACACTTCGCTGTAGCGTAAATTTGAAAGGAAAAGAAACCATCCAACGACCTCATCAAAATCATTTTTCATCAATGCACATTTAGTACATTTCTGCACATTAAATACCAATATCGAAATGCTCATTGTTTCGTTTCACAAGCTCAAGCGAAGTAGCTCAACGCCTCGACAACTTTTCTTTTTTACCTCTAGGTATCTCGAAAAGTATCAATATCTGCATGTTGAATTAAAAAAAAAGTCATTGTACGTTGCTCGAGCACAAATTGCCCAGTGCGTATAATACCGATTTTTTTCACTCAGCGAAAAGAACACATGGTCCAATTACTATATTTGTAAAAGCAACAGACTGCATATACGGAGCTTTTTTGTGCTTTGATACGTATACTATTGTACAATTCCGAAAGTGCATAATGTACATTTTGAAATTTCTCAAGTTTAGCTTGTAGGGCATGTAAACTTGTAATGCGCCGTTTGCATTAGCCACAGACTCATATATTTCGTCTGATAGCTTAAGCACACATTACATATAACGTCACAGAGATGATTATTATTGTTATTATCATATGCATATACATAGACGCACACATACGAATGGGGTATTAGGGCCGTCGCATACATGTACACACGTATTATGTAAGCCTCTGGTGGTCATTTTCCTCCTCGTCTCGAGTACGCGCGCATAAAGTTGAAAGAACAAAGAGCCGCTACGTACTCGAGAGATAAAACTATATAGAAGAGACCTTTCGCTCGCGCACAAATATATGCTGCTTGTTATACTGCGAGTATAGGTGCAGGCTAATACTCTATTTTAACCTATGCGAGAGATAATGTGCACAACGAATAATACTTGCAGGGGAAGATGACCGCCGCGGCTATTGTGTACGACACATGTCGGCGCTAGTAACTCATCCGTGATAGTACGTGTATATATTTTTTCGTCGCCATTTTATTCTTTTCTATGCTTTTTTTAGTCAGTCTTTTTTATTTATAAAGCTGCAATGCACCACGCGGAAATGCAAACAAATATGTTGAAAAATTCAAACGATGAATAAATGACTATACACTCGCTCAAGAGAATAATCTGATTATGCTTGCATTTCGTGGATGCATCGACAGCAATATGCAGATATTATTCCCAACACTGCGCGCTAACACATCGTCATAAATTAATAATAATAATAGTAATAGTTACGTGTATTTATAGTATGTATATACATGAATATTTAATATATATGTAAAAAAGATATATAAATTGATATAGAGATTATGTACAGATGTACAGCACATTTTTCTCTACCAAAGAGCTTACTAAATACGTGATCGAACGGAGTACTCGTCCGAGAGTAACCTGCAACAACGAAACAACAACCATCTGTCACTGCCCCCCTCTTCCATAATCAACACATACTTAAAGCTACATTTTTTATTCTTACGCTTGCACTCGTTTAATCGTCGCTTTATGCAATTATTAAGTTCGGCAATTAAAAAATTTATGTTATTTTTTAAAATCAGAACTGATTAGATTTAAAAAAACAAATTCGCTAAAAACTTATCAAGTAGAAATTTCACTTTCTAAAGCATTAATGAAACTTTTTTTAACTCATTTAATGGCCCTTAAATAACTACAATGTCGAATCGAACAAATAGTAGTCGAAAAAAGGTTTCATAAATGCTAAAAAATGTTTGATTTTTAGAAGCGATTTTTATTGCTGATATTCAATAAACATTTTTTAAATTGTTTTTTTATTCGTCGTTTAACGGTAGAGCAATTATTTTAGATAAGCATTGATAAATCACAAAGAAAAAATTACAAATAAATTGATGTAGCGGTTTTTTAAATAAATTCAAATAATAATCATTGTAGGCATAATAATTTTTTTTTTACGAATTTGTTGGGAATTTCATTATATTCACAATAATAACTATGGAAATTTTCTCAATTTCAATAATTTACTCGTTCAACACGAGATGCATACCATATAGCCTCGGCGCACACAAATTGTTCGCATTTGCGTGTAGTACTTTTCAAGCTGCTCTGCAATGCATACAGATGCAAAATGTATACGCACCCACGATACCTCGATGGTATTGTATCTCGGGCAGGTACAACAATCGAATTCGGTGCCAGCTCACGAGCTTGACAAATGAAAAAAAAAGACTACTGCTGCTATGTTACTGCTATTTTATATTCGAAAATTCCAATGAACCTATTTCGGTAAATTTCATGAATTCGTATACCATAAATTAAAATTTAAGTGAAGGTTTCTAATAATCCCAATTTAAGAAATAATTTTATTGAGAGATTTTTTGTATCGGTGGGTTCCATAAATAAGCAATCAATGTTATTGTTTGTATGGGAAAAAAACTCGGACATTGATTCATTCAATTTGCTTCTACGTTGAAATTAAAATCAATTCATGTTGGAGACAAGTTGGTGAAAAAGGGAGTTATTTGAAAGTGATGAACGTCAAGATAACGACTCTTGTATGTATGAGTAAATATGAGTAGAACACATCATACGTAACACATACACAGGAGAAGGGGTGAAAGAGGAGTAGGAGGAGTCTGGGCTGATTGAGTTAAAAGAAAATTAAAATCAAAGCACGCGGTCACGCGACGTTGATGCGAGGACCCGAGAAATTGAGTTAGCTAGTTGCCGACGAGCTTCCTATAGTGTATCCAATCCACGAAAGTCAGCACTGTCGAGGGGCACGATTTTCTCGTTAATCAACAATAACTCGATTTTTTTCTCTCGCTCTTCCCATTCGTGTTGATTGTAGAGCAAACTGCCTGTACTGGATCTTGGATTCAGTGTATTTCGCTTACTGTGCCAATTTTTCGTTAAAATTTTTAATTTACATCATGTAAAAACTTTTTAACGACCACGATGAAAAATATTTCTAGATTTTTTCAATTTGAAGCGTTTAACGATGGGATTGAATAATCGAGTATTGAAAAATAAAAAGAGACATATAATATGTATCGCGTGATCACTAATATGATTTGATTGTTAAAATTCTATTATGGGTCCTCGCTTTTATTTATTACATAACCGTTTTTACAACTTACACGACAATATACCTATAATGCTAACGATCTACGTAAAAAATAGCAAAGACACAAAAATATTCCATGTACCATGTATATATGTTATATGTTATATACGAGGAAAAAATCTCTCACGATACGTTGTTATGATTAGAGGTTTGCCTTGACTTACTCGGGATACTTGACGTTTGGGTGAGGCTTGAGAAAACAGCGCTGCCTCAGAATACCCTCCCAGAGCTGAACCCCGACGATGCCGAAGATGAAGAAGACAAAGAAGCAAAGCAGCAACACGTTGCCCAACATTGGCAAAGTGTCAAGCAGCAGCATCACGAGTATCCTCATGCCTTTATGGAACATAACAAGAATCGATGTTATAGAAATCTTATCGGAGCGTCGCACGTGGCAGCAAAGGTGTGTATCGATGGATGTCACGCGCCACCCTCGAAATATATAGCTCTCCACAGTCACTCTCACAATGCTGTCGATCAAAGCTCCGAAAAAGAAGCGCCGCGTACGAGCGCGAGTAATTGAGAGAGAATACGATAGGCCAAGTGTCAGGGTCGTGTCTCGTGCACAGAGCAGCGCAGCTCGCCAGCGACCCATCCCTTAAGTTCCGATGCCGCGAGCCTCCGTCGCCCCTTCCGTCGTCGTTACTTCTTCCGCGTCTTTTTTTATTTACTCGTTAAAAAATCCCAATCGCATGCAAATGCATTTTTTCGTCGTCGCAGAAAAGGAGAAAACGCTTTGAATCCTTGAAAAACAGTCACGCGCTCGGGCGCGTGAACATGATTTAATGACGCCGGAATTTAAATTTTAACGAGTAGAATTGTGCGAAGCTCCCAGTACAATCGACACTAAATCTTTGAGCGATCATTCTTTTTATACATGCGCCGCACGCGTTCGTGTGTATTTGTTAGTGGCGAATCGGCGGAAAATAAAAATCAATGATTTTGACTCACTTGGTATCCTGTTGATTGCTCGCAGAGGCCTCAGCACTCGTATCGTCCGTATCGCCGATAAATTCATATTTTCCACATTCAGGCAGTACTCCAATGCACTGTAAAAAGAGCATTGACGAATATTAAAACGCTTACTTTAAAGCGTTTTTATTAATACATTATTCCGAGCACGTACTTTCTCGGCTTCTCGAGCTTATTAATATTCATGTGATAAGTATTGCTTAATGCAACGACAATTTCATATAAATGTACAAAAATTTAATTCGTTCCAAGAACTATTAGTTCGTAACTTACTAATCATATTATTATTTCGGATTGCCGATGAAAAGCGTCAATTTTATATGCTTCCGCAAACACTCTTCAAAAGTTGACAAGAAATCGCACGGTTGAATAATAAAAGATGTACTCACCCTGCAATTACTATAAAGAAGTCTAGTCTATTCCAAGAATCAGCGAGATATGTGCCTTTGCCATAAATACCCATGGCTACCATTTTGATCGTCATTTCTAACGCAAAAAAGGCGAATATGATGTCGTCAAACATCTAAAAATAAAAGCTTAACATTAGTTCATTGTTTAGAGGTTCCTGAACGCATAAATATCAGACTTCGAAAGGTGACAGCTTTGAAATTTATCGATAGAAATAAGCATCAGCATTTAGCCTATATTTTAATGCATTGGTAAGCACTGCAATATATAATGAAGCAGACGCTCGTGCATTGGCACACTCGTGTACAGGTTACAATTGAATAACAGCTTGTTTACATGTTTGTATACATGATATTTCTGTTTGTGTTCTGTTTTCTCAATCTTCAGCTAACGAATTATTTGCTACAGTGAAGTGAAGTAGGCTAATATACAAAAGGAGGCTCTAAATTGAATTTTTCAAGCAACTGCACGCATTCATTCAATATTTGAAAGTGTCAATTTTATTTTTGGCGATAAAATTCTAATAATCATAAAATACATCTGTTACCTTTAATTAACAAAGTTTGCTCGCTTTTTGGGCCAGTTGTGTATAATTTTTAGCTTAGCGATATGAATCAGGATTCAAAGCAACCGAAAATTCCACTTTGATTATCGGCGTCGAAAAATATCTTAGTTAGCCAAAAATAATTTAATCTTAAAGCGCGATCGATTCGTGCTCATCATCGTCATCGTCTGGCCTTTTATGCACACTAGCTTGATTTTCTTTCACGTTTTTTGTAAGTTTCTCCACACTATGTGACTATATTTTACCAAGCTGGTAATTAAAAGGAGTACTTGGCCTTCAGCTTCACTAGCTCTTAACCAGACTATTCCGCACGGAAGATCTTGTTATTTTTCAATTACAACTCTACATTTCTATGTATATGAGGACTTTCGTGCAGATTTCTTATTTTAGGTTTTTTTTTTAAATATTCTCATTGTTTTTATTTTGTTCGATTACTCATTACAATTATTAATATAGATGATTGTTTTAAGGACAAAAAAAATCATAATTCATTGAAGTCATTTCATTCATTGAATTTACATTATTTGTGCAAAGTTTGGCCATGAGTTGGTCCAAAATGTAACTGAAATGAGTAAAATATTGAGGCTTCTTTTAATGATCGTTAATAAAATATTCAAATAAATCAGGATTATTAAATTTGATTTATGGGATTTATTGCAGTGATAAATAAGTGTTACAGCATCTCTTATACTTAAAACCAATAGATATTACTTCAAGGTGAAGTTTATATGTATCTTAATTTTATGTTGGAAGGATTTTTTTGAAAAATCGTGAATAATTATACAGGCCTATCTCGTTATACGCGGGGGTTACGTTACCGAAAAGTTCCGCGAAATCCGCGTATAACGAAGCAAAAAGCGAATCTTTAATAAAGACTTTTTATTTTATATAAATATATCCATATAAAAATCTACAGAGGTCTCGTAAAAAAAAACGGTAACTTTGCAATAGCAGCAATACACTCCCGTTCTCTGATTAAATTTAGAATTTTCAATTTTTCAGCCAAATTAATGACTTTTCTTTTTTTTATTGGAGTTTTAGAAATTTTCGGAGTATTTGGAGCCATTGTCAAATTTTTCAAAAGGTTATAAAAAAAATTTTTGACCGTCTTGAACCGCGTATAACGTGAACTTATCCGCGTATAACGAGAAATCGTCGCATTTGGCAATCCGTGTATAAGGGTAAAGCGCGTATACAGAATCCGCGTATAAGGAGGTATGCCTGTAATTACTTTTATTGATAGAACGAACAGGAAATACATTGTCAATATCACGACAGCGATTTAAAGTCTATTACAATTTATTTATCTGTTAAAACTATAGAAGGTTTAATAATTCATAGTGATATTTTTAAGTCAGAGTAAACTTAAAATTGTAGCTAATAAAGTGCAATCGCGAACAAAGTCCAATGTAATTTATATTTTATTTTACCCGAGCTCTTACAATATTTTCAATGTCCATTACTCACTCGATTAAATTTTAGTGGGTAAATGCTTCGTAAGTAAACTTGTAATGTAACCATGAACTGTGAAGAAGATTGTGGTAGATTATCAAGTTTGTTTAAGAGTTCCTTTTGACCCAAAAGTAAACAGAATTTGGAATTTATCATAGAACTAGATCGATAAATAAGAAAATGAAATAAGAGAATGAGGTAAATTTTTAATGTCAAACGAATAAGCAAACGAGTCACAAAAAATAATTGAAAAATCAATTCTTTTGAAAGGTTTGAAATGCTATATTCGTATTGCTGGTAAGTGAAGTGCCAAAAAATAAACACAAATTTCAGTCAAAAGAAAAACTCGTAGAATTATTTATTCTATCGATATATAGAATATATATACGGTATACCAGCATCGCACCACTCACACATTCGCCGCGACCGATATGGATTGAAGCGCGTCGAGTCGTTGTTTTTTTAAGCGGGGAAGTCTGGGAAAATTTACCCAAGTCAGCTATACTTCCGGACGATATTTACTTTTTCTTTGGTGCATATATAGACTTCCTTTATCTATTCACTCTTGGATATGTATATAAGCTTCGAGGCTTTTTTGTCACAGGCGCGGAGACTTTTTCGCATCGAGCGTAACTCAGTGTCAACGCTACGCTTAACGCTGTTGTTGCTTCTGTTGCTGTTGTGCTTCGAGTTAAAATTCGGAATAAAACTTAGGTTGATGCGAATGTGGCTCATGGCCACAAGTCTCTCTGTGCGTCGTATTTTTTAACGCACATACATATTCTGACGAAAAATTGTTTGATATTTTGCATACATACATGAAGGATAATTCAAATCCTATTGCAAAATTGTCCAGAGACATATGTATTCATGGTTCGATAAATTCCAGCAAATCTGAGAAAAATGCGCTAGTGCGAAAAATTCAACTGAGTTACAGAAAAATTCAACACCAGTAAAAATTTTATTTTTTCGTGCGCTGATGCGGAGAAAAACATCTCGGTACATGTATACTTGCAACTCTGTCAAGGATATGAGTAAAACTTTGCATGCATCAAGTCGACAAAAAACTCGTGTGTATACATGCATTTGCTTTGACTCGCATATAATATTATCGATCTTATGTGTATTCAATAAATAAAACGAAGATACAGATCGGAACGAGAAATAGGATTTTTCGTACCAAAGCGTTCACAAGTAAAAATATTATTTCCAGCAGACGAAAAAGTATAGTAGCAAAGCTTTCTCATGCATTTTCTAATAGAGTCTCGCAGGGCACTTTATTCATTTGCTTTTAAAAATAACACAATTATAGATGTGTTGATGGTACCATGCAGTCTTGTGCTACATTATATTTTCAAGAATTTGATAATTATATGATGTGAGAGAAAAGCAAAAAAGTAAATATAGCTTTGAATGAAAAAACAATAAACGCAAGTAATCGGTACAAAATAGATGAAAAAATACGTTACCTGTAATATTTTGCAGCGATTCGTTTCACATTGGTCGTCGACACACGGCTGATACATGCCCAATGTGATACAGTTCAGCAGAATCACCATCATGCTCACTCTCTCGAACCACGTGTTATAAAAATATCTTGTTAAGGAAAATCATATTTTTTTTGTATTTTGTCAATTTTGAAATAAAAAACCATCCTTGAATCGCAAAAGAAGGAAAATAAAAATTGAAGCAGCGTAAATTTGACGTTTCACAGTACGCTTCAGCGGAACTATTATGATACTTATATATCGATCGATTGTTGCACGAGTCCAAAGCAGATGAATACACATAAAGCTGCAGTGGCAGACGGACACAATAAAGACAGTAACGCCCGCCGTCGGTTGCGCACGCGACAATGATCAATACATCACGATAGTAAAAATCCATTCCTCTTCGGCATAAGTGACAGTGACCCAGTTGAATAGACTTTAAAAATTGCACGGCGGAAGCTAATACGTGCGCAGATATTATGAAACAACAGGCTGAGAATTACGTGCTCGTTTTTGTGTGGCGCACATTGGAATAATGTAAACCAGTATACGCGAGAACATAATGCACCGCGAGAGCCGGGATACGGTGCTTTGTGAATACCGCAATGATTCAAATTTATATAGTTGGCGCCCAGCGCCATAAAATCAATTTACGATATGATACGCTCGTTTGTAAATACACATAAAGGAGATAAAGTCGTTTGCGTGAACCCGAGCGCTCGGGTATAATTTTTGTTTACATTTCTTGCTGCGCGAGTCCACGTAAGCTTTTACGTGGCGTCCCGAGGATTCATGCGCACGCAACCAAAACTAATCCCGCGCGTTTCCCAAAGCAAACATTCGATATCGATGCGAATTAACTTATTTCGTTGTTGATGATATTTGTTGAATTTGTCAAGCTATATATGCTTCTGCACTCGATACGGAGTGCAAAGTGCAGCCGGATGCACCGAATAGAATGAACATTTTTCGTAGCAAAATTTCGCTTGTATCGCTTTGAGAAAAGCACGACTATGAAAAAATGTGTGTACAGATACCCTTATAAACTCTTACAAAAGACGTCGCAGGTATAATAGAAAGAATAGTATTGTGTATCATATGCGTGTATAGTATATATATATAGAGAGAGAAAGCCAGAGAGGAATAGCTGGGGAGAGTTGGGGAGAAATATGAAATGAATAGAAGAGAATGTGAAGCTCGAGCGAAGTGAATTCAAGCTCTATATACATGAGTCTGAATTCACACTTATTTCCGAGTCGAACAAAGCGTTTTTGCGAATCGAATTCATGTTTCATCATAATCTGCGCCATTTTTGTTTCGCTATTCATTACTAGCTTCTTAATAGTGGAAACATGTCTTTGTAGGGTCGAAAAAGTCTGCAGAGGCGATATCGAATCGAGTGCTTGAAATTACTGAAAGCTTTCGATTCAGGTAAACTCGAATAGCCCGAGCGCGCGAGAAAATATTTTCAATGGTATTTTCAAACGTGTATTACCGTTACAGACTGCTACATATAAGCTTCAACAAAACAATCGTGCAGTTCTGGCGCGCGCAAAGAAACACTCTCATGAAATAGTCAATAGCTCCGCAGAGTATAATACAGTTAGCCTGCGCTTCTAAGCGAATTGGGACTTGGTTAGCTGTATATCCTGTGCACGCGGCCAGGCCAGATGCGAATGAAAAAATTGAATATTTCATGGTCCAGTGTTTTTCTGCCCCAAGAGCTCACCCGCGTTTTATAAATTATTCGCATCATGAAATTGTTGACAGTTCGGATCTCGATGACGTCGAATAAATTAGTCGATTAAATGTGCTAATGCGCGCCGCGCAAACGGGCACGCTCGTAAAGCCTACATAATAATATATGCAGCGAGTGAAATTAATTGGCGCGTACTCGAATTCCATTTATTAATTTATATATTATATATTTATTTATTGGTACGGAAAAATTCTCATCGTGCACGATAAACTCTTGCGGATTCAGGCAAGTTACTTAATTTGATGGAGGAAAAATTGTCGCGACTCTAATCAGCGAAACATCGGCACGATTTTCGGTGTATTATCGGCGCAACAATCAATTTTGTAAGACACAATAATGTGGGTCAATGAGACTCAAAAAGCTCGTATATAGAGTAGAGTAGTGCAGAGAGTAGCGCGCACAGAGGCACATAATGCACAAGCCCCCTTAGGAGAGCCTACAGTATAAACCGAAACGGGCGCGCACAGGAAGCTGTTAAACCCAATTCGCACTGAATGTGTGTGTGAGTGTGTCGTTGTACGTGTAGGCACTAGGCATGCGTGCGCCCCGTCGTGGTCGTCGTCGTCGGCGTCTACGTGCAGTGGCGTTGTTGTACGCGTGAAAAGGCTAATGCCGTTATATACGTGACTGGAGCGTTATTGCGGCACTGGCAGCGGCTCTCCACGAGTGTCCATCCAATCTAGCCTATATTTACTCTTTAGCTGGACTCTATATAACTGCACACATAAAGGCCAGCGAGACAGACGTGGCAGGGCGTGTGTTCGAACCTCGTTACAGGCTTTATCATTTAAGCATACAGCGCCAGTGGCGAGAGCCGCGATAATGAATAAAAACGACGGATTAATTGACGTTCGACAAAAACCTAAACGACTTTATCTCGATTATTTTTTTCATTTCCAAAGCTTAAGCTCGAAATTGCTTAGGCACGCGGGTGCAAAGCCACTTGAGTTAACTAGCTTTTTCGAAAAAAAACGCATTCAAAATGCAGCGAGAGATCTTTGACCAGCTACCGGCTTGCGAGCTCTCATTCACTCCAACAGTCTGCTACTTATACATCCATGCAGCTATTCAAACCCTTACATATAACCTACATTTAGCGAAGTAACTAGCGCGAATATGTGTATGTGAGTGTGTGTGTGTGTGTGTGTATTGGTGCGTGTACGTATTATTAGCGACCTGACCCGAGCGAGAGCACGAGCCGCCCTCCCAGGAGGCTCTCTCAGCGTTTGCTTACCGTATTTATTATGCGAATCAAGAAAGTCTATATGCTCTAGCCTATATACATGCAACATTGCACGTGTACAACACAGCGAAACGTTTCGCAGTTGTCTCTCAAGATATGTATTTTGGAGCTTGCATTGCATCATGTAATATTCATTAATGTGAGAGTAAACTCGCTGGACTCGATGTCAAGGTGTGCAGGACGTATTTCACAATTTAATTATTTCAATTACGTCATCTTCGTACAATGTTTGACAATAAAAATTCGTAGTTTGCCCCGACACCCCAAATGCACTGAACAAGAGCAGGAAATCCTCGCTGTGCATGGCACTAAATTTTGTTAAATCTGCCTGTGTAGGCGAATTTTTGGGGATTCTCGTGTACGACTGGTGCGCGCCAGGCTCGCACACGCGTGCTGCACTTGGTAAATTTCGCATTTTTCGACGCGCTCTGTGTGTTTCCGTGAAACAAATCCGCTTATATTTTTCTCTTCTCAAGTTGCATGCAGGCGTCCGCGTGTGAATGTGTATACAAGCGCGCATTACCAAAGTCCGCCTGCATTGCGGACGCGTATAATTGCAGCGCGAGCGCACGCCCGGCTCGTGAAATTATATATTTTCCGCGAGTTATTAAAATTCCAAGAGTAAAAATTATTCGCTTTTGACTGCGGGTCTCGAGTAATTTTAGTAAGTTCCGAGCATCGATTCGAGTGCGTATACAGCAACGATTGAGTGGGGCTAATTTTCACGTGTAAGCAAAAGCGAGCGTTAGCAGCCGCGCACTGCCTCGTATTTATAGCTTTAAAGATCCGCAGCGAGAGATTCGCGCTGCCGTGCGAAGACCTTGCGCTTCATTTTAAAAAGCACGTGCTACATACATAAAGAGATACGTATCGGTTTTCGCCGAGATTCTTTTCAAACAGACCGACCTTTGATACACGCAAGATAAGGTATATACCGCGATGAAATTCAAGTAACACAATCTCCTATTAAGAGCTGCACTTTTTGTCCAATTCGCCTCTATTTGCCCGACTAGTCACAATATTTTTCATTTATTTCATCAAAACAAAAAAGCCTCGCTCAAACGCTGCCTGAAAAAGTGGCGAAAAAAATACATTTCTTTTATTTTTTCGAGAAATGCTTAACATTTTGTCACACTACACTGGTACGCGCGACACTCACGCTCACACAGACGCGCACGAAAACACACACAGAGGGCAAGTTTTGCGAGAGTTAAAAAAAAGGAACGAAAGAGGGAGAGAGAGAATGAAAAAAGCTTGAGAGAGAGTAGCGCAATTAGAGTGTGGGCGCGGGGCTTTCATCTCCTGTCGGCTTGGCGCGCGCGAGAGAGAGAGAGAGAGAGAGAGAATCGATCCAGCGAGTCGGAAAGGGACATAGCGAGAGCCGCACGCGAGATGCAGGTCGTGAGTTGCTGACTGCTGCTGCTGCTACTGCAGCAGGTGGCTCTGGGAGGGAGGCCATGCACGAGAGGAGGCAGCAGCTCTGGCAAAAGGGGCTCGCGAAAAGTCGGGCAACAGTGTGCACGTCTATACGTGTATATGCATCGCGTATAGATATACAGGCTGCAGCCGCCCCCGAGACCCAATGCGCGCGCGATAGCAAAAAGCGAGCGCGCGGATTGAAGATGAAAGCTCGCAAGCTCGAGCAGGCCTCGATGCTGCGATGTATTTACGTTTTGCTTTTCTCCCGCTACTGCTGCAGCCTACTGACTTATTAAAAATTCATCCCTTTCTTGCTTATGCTCCAATCATTTTCTTAATTTTATTCGAAATTTTCTACTCTCGACTCAGCTGCATGCACGTGCATTATTGATGACGCTAAAATAATCGCTCATGCTCGACTAGAGAATTCAAACGGCCCTCTTAATCGCAAGCTCAAACGATTCCAACTTAAAATCCGCAAGCTCGGGCGGAGAAAATATACTCGGACTCTGCGAGTGCTAAGGAAGCATAATGCGTAAGTCGTAAGATAATTCATGCTAAACGCAGCGGCTGCTCTGCTGGTGGCTAGCTTCAGTGTATAATAACGGGACTGTATACCCTCAAACTCGCTGTAAATCTGGCTCGCTGCAGTCTGTAATACAGCTTGGCA